CGGTCTCTAGAAGGCTAACCACTCATCTTCTTGGAATTCTTTCTTTCTAAGAAGTTGTATGTCAACATAGGCTACCATTTGAGAATGTTTCAAAACATACAAGAAGCGCAAAACACTAAAGTTATACTTTTTTTAATTGAACACGCTATATTTTATTTCATTTTGAGATTCTCCCTGATGAGTTGATTCCAACGATCCATCATACTTGGAGTATAGCAGTAATTATAACTAAGATATAGGGTGTGAAAAATCGAGATTTTTCAAGTTCAGGAATTGTTTGTGTCGAAACTTTTCATAATTGGTCAAAATGGTTCACATACCCCTATCTCAATGTTTTATTAACTATCGATTGGTATTTAATTAAAATAGATACAGGGTTAAAAATCTCAATTCTGCTCCACCCAGTACTTGTTTTAATCGAATATCAATTGAAAGTGGATGAAAAGTTGAGATAGGGACATGTTAACCGTTTTGACCAATTATGAATATTCTCGACACAAAAAAATTCTTGGACTTTTCACACCCTATATCTTAGTTATTATTACTGCTATACCCCAAAGATGATGGGTCGTTGAAATCAGCTCATCAGGGAGAATCTCAAAATGAAATAAAATATAGGGTGTTCAATTAAAATAAGTATAACTTAAGTGTTTTGCGCTTCTTTGGGACACCCTGTATGTTTTGAAACATTCTCAAATGGTAGCCTATGTTAACATGCAACTTCCTAGAGAGGAAGAATTCCAAGAAGATGAGTGGTTAGCCTTCTAGAGACCGAGGCGTTACTGGTGGCCCACCCTGTATAATAATCATGTAATCAGCTGTTATTGCTTTGAATGGTGCAATTTTTATATAGATTAACAATAACAATACAGGTATTTTGAGCATACATTATCAAATTTGTTGGTAAATGTTGTTGGCTGCTGTTGGCACAAAATTTTGCTCATATCAAACTTTTATAATAATATACTATCATTCTATCGATCATCCACGAAACGAATATCGGACACTGATTTTTATTATTTGAATAAAACTTGCGCTATTTCATATGTAAGTAATCAAATTTCTAATATACCAAACACATTACAATAGGTTCATCTCCTATTCTTCCTAAATTTAATATGGTTTGTACCTTTCCAATATAAACACTAAAGTAGCTGCAGTTAAGATTATGAAGTGAATTTGAAAAACTGGTAACAAGTTTCTCAGAGTTATTCTAGCCGTACCCCGACGTATTGGACTCATCTTTATTTTTTTATTGTTGAAAAAATCCTTCTTCCATTTGGCAATGAAGCCTCCAGCAATGAGCCTTTTTATAATCTCGTCAAATCTTCGATAGAAAGGAAATCCTTGTTTCATAACCATTACTATTGGATAGCTAATTTTATCTGTGTTCAGGCAATATATTCTTCCTAAAGTATAGTTGAGTAAGATGACGTTTTTGAATAGCCTGCTAAGGCAAATTGACGAGTCCTTAGCCACAGAAACATACTTCAAACATATGTTAATATCCAAACAATCTCTCCATTTCTGTATAATTTCACCCAATGGCACGGCATGTGTATCTGTATTGAAAAACAATTTCGTTTCAGGCATAAAGTAAGTATTCAAGTTGTTCTTGTATACATCTTTGATAGACTTGTATTTTTGTTCGAACGTTGGTCTGGTTAAATTACTGGTCAAAAAGCTGTTATAGTAACTGGTCATGAAGAAACTGAACAAAAGAAGTAGGCCTAAGAAGTACCTCACTCTGATTGGTCGTGGTTGTTTTGGTAGACTGGATCCCAACAGTACCCTAGATATATTGAAATATTCGTCGAAAAAGTTCTTATATGTTGAAGTTTCTTCCTCAGTTTTGTTATTGAAGTACCACATGAAGAAGCTTGTCAAAATATGCAACAATACTGTCAAAATTACGACTTTATAGCTGATTAGAGATATGAAATTCTCAAGGTCGTTTCTTAATGGTACATTGGGAACACACCATACTATACTGTCCTTCATGTATGGGTGACTGGTTAACAATGTGTGAGAAATCTTGGAAATTTTTGGTATTCCTCCTAAAAATACATCCGCATTATTCTTATACAAAATTGCAGATGCGTTCTTCATATTGTGTCGTCCAGACAAATTATTTTCAACGTGATTCGCGTTTTCAAATGATATGGTCAAATTGAGTTGGTCTCCAATTACTTCCAGAATGTTTATTTCGATACCTACTATGGTATTATTTCTTTTCATGGCGAATGGAGGCAATTGCAAATATTCAGCTTTCACAAGACATTTCGATAATGTTTTCGGAATCTTATCACCATACCAATCTGTATAACCTTTTATCCTGCCAAAAGAACAATAGTCGATGGAATAAGTGCTGCTGGAAAAATTATTTCCGCAGTGGTGTCTGTATGGATTCCAAGTGTACATAATGAACTGTGTGGCATTTCTAGGATTGGGAATCATGATCATGAAGTTGATACAATTTCCGGACGACATAAACTTTGAAACTATTCTTGCCATATGAAATGGCCTCTTGAAAATAGCCGTTGACGCAAGTAGATATTTCGCGTAGGAATTCAGCATCTTATTACGTTTCAGCATTGTTATATGATCGAACAGGTCTTTCTCGTTCCAGAAATGTATTATGATAGTTTTGATATTTTTCCATTCCTCTTTCAGTGAAGTCAATCTTATTATCATGATGTTTGCAGTATGAACAGATCTACTCAATATTCGCAAAGTGATGTCGTCTAGAGTGATCGGTGATGAAATGTTTGGCTCCACTAGAGACAGAGATAAAGTTATAGTTTCTCCGTTGAAAAATCGTTTACTCGTTGCTGATATACAATGCGACAGAGACTGTATGATATTCATCTGATTTCTTGGTAAAGGATCAAGTTTTAATTCACAAATTATGAAACATTGCAAGACAATAGTTATGTGTATCAACATCATTTCTATATGAAACGAAATTCACTATATAAATAATATCGATGCATGCTCACTGAAAATATTTCATGGCCTAGGGTAATTATTTTATCGGATCAATTTCTAATTATTGTTTTCTCGTTACATACTTACACTTCTTTGTTTGCATGTACAGTGTGTCCAGTTTTCGATGCTTTTGTGCGATATCTCAGTTGTCTTTGGAGATAGAGAGTTGCGGTTTTCACATTACTGTCTTACTGTTTTGTGAAACGGACAATGCCGCAAACAGAATTATCACAGCTCTCCATGTTCTTGAGATACAGGGCGAAATTGCGAATTCTCACTTTTTGACCACCTTCCGTATCTTGGTTAGTATCCAACTTATTGGCAAGGTGAGAACGGGACCTTGTATAACTTTTTACGCATAATACAATGGCGTACTCATTCTGTTTCCGTAATGGCTCATTTTCAGAAATTGAAGCCAACATTTCCTTTTCCAAATGGGACACCCTGTATATTTCATTACATTTCGATTCAGATTTTTTTTGCTTTCCGAAAATATATAATAGTTTACATTTTTCTATATTATTGATGTTTTAATTCAAAGATATTATTTTACTATGCGTTTTCGCAAGTAGGCCGTGGTGACTCAGTAGAAAACAAAGTTGTTTATAGCTGTCAATAGCTGTTGTCATGAACGCTTATCAAGTTTTCATGCTATACTGTGTTTTCAAGAGTTTCACACTCGTTATTTTGTAATTTTTGTATTTTTCTGCGATTCGAACGATGGCAGCACTGTATCAAAATTATGAAAAATATGATATGTTAGTTTGCTTCATACAATGCAATGAAAACAACAACAAATCAACATGTTAGATTTCGTAGAAGCAGCGCCTTCAAGTTCTTGTCGAGTTATTGAAAGAGAAGTCGGTGTGGTCAAGAGCCGGGTACAAAAAATTTTGAAGAAAAATAAATTCACACCATATAAATTACAAATCGTACAGCATTTGCATTTGGGAGATGCGGGAAGTCGATTAATTTTTTGTAATTGGACTTGAAAAAAAAAGATTATTTTTGAGTGCGAGTCTTATTTTACTGTCTTCTTTATTTTATTTTGTCAAATATATTTATGTATTCACTATGTTCCCTGCTATAAACAAATGTTGTTTCTTGGGAATAATAAAGTTGATTGATTGATTGAAAAAATCCATAGTAATTGTTAAAACTTCACAAACTGAAGAAATTTCACGATATGAGATGATTCCAGGTAGGGTAGCTCTCCTCTATTATGTGTGCTCTCGGTTTCTTGTCCTTGGGTTCCATAACATATTCCGTGAATGAGTGGACAGTGGTTTTCTCCTTCTCTCCACAGAACCTGCATTCATCTTCCTTTTCTAGACCAAGCTTCCTAAGATTCCGCATCAACCAGAAATGTCCTGTTAGGACTCCCGTTAGTATTCTTGCTTAGGCTGACACAATATGTCTTCGATCATCTGTGATTATAGTTAAACCCAGTAGTATCTTTGCTTGTCTGAGACCTCAAAGATTTTTCCAGATTTCTGATATCTGTATAAATTCTTTTTTCATATTTTTCTGATATATTACTTCTGCTGATTCCGCAGAAGGGTTCGGACCCTACGAAGATTGTTTGACTTCTTGCCATACCAAGTTTATATCTGCTACTTCATTCACTTCTTCTCCGGAATTTCTATATGACTATGACTATATTTTTGTTGGCTAGTTCGTTCAGTATTTGAGAATTTCCAATATCTTAGAATATAATAGAAATCAGATGTGTTAATAATGTGTTAATTCAAATATCACTGCACCAACATGAGGCCATGTCTCCTGAGACCATAAAACTGCAGTTTACTTAGCAAAATTCGATGATCTACACAATCATAGGCTTCAGTATGGTCGTAAAATACGTCTGCGCTAAGTTCTTTGCCATGCGGAAAGTGTGACGTCATACGGTCCTTAAAGCTACCTCAAGGTCAACCACTCTTCTGCCGCATCAGCCTTCGCTACAGCACCACTGTCATCGCAGTAGGGGTTTGGAACCGGTGTGAATCTTCTACTCAAATGTCCATCAAATTCGATATTCTTTTCTCTATCCAACCACACTTATTCACCAAGTTATACCATATAATTTCCAATATAAAAACAACGAAAGCTGCGGTTAAGACAATGAAGTGAATTTCAAAGGCTGGTAGTAAATGTGTCAAATTTATTTTAGCCGTTTTCTGATGCTGTGGTATATTGAGATCATCGATGAAGTCAGCTTCCCACTTGGCAATGAACCCACTAGTGATGAGCTTATTCAAAATCTCATCGAATCTGTGGTAAAACGGAAATCCATCTTTCACAACCATCGTCACTGGATAACTGATTCCGTCTTCTTTCAAACAATATATACTTTCCAAGGTATGGTTACCTAGGATGAAGTTCTTGTATAGGCTGCTGAGGCAAATTGACGAGTCCATGTCCACACAAACATGCTTCAAACATAGGTTGACATCAATACAGTCCCTCCATTTTCGCATTATTTCACTCAGAGGTACAGCATATATGTCTGCATTGAAAAACATTTTTTGTTCAGGTATGAAGTAAGTGTCCAAGTTGTTATCGTATATATCTTTCATATTGGTGTATTTTCGTTTGTTCTGTGGTCTGGCTATATTCGTTGTCAATATGCTGTTATAGAAACTGTTCATAAAGAAGCTGAATAGAAGGAATATGGCTAAGAAATATCTCACTTTGATTGTCTGTGGTTGTTTTGGTACACTGGAACCAGCTATTACCCCATACACATTGACATATACTTCTAAGAAGTTTTTATATGAAGCAATTTCCCTATCTGTCTTGTTACTTGAGTACCAAATAAGAAAGCTTGTAATAAAATGCAACAGTAGTGTTAGACCTATCACTTCGAAGCTGATTATAGAAGATATGAAATTCTTCAAGTTGTTTCTTAGTAGTTCATCTGGAACGCACCATATGAATGTATCCTGCATGTATGACCGGCTGGTAAGCAGCAATTGAGATATCTTGGAAACTTTGGGGATGCCCCCGAAAAGTAAATCCGCATTATTTCTCTTCAGTATTTCTAATGCACTACCCACGTTGTGTCTCTCTGACACGTTTTGCTTGTACATACCCATTGCTTCATAAATTGATAATGCCACATTCAGTTGATCTCCAATCAGTTCAAGAATATTTATTTCAATACCGCTTAGCTTGTTCTTTCCTGCGACAACATATGGAGGAAAATTCAAATATGTAGCGTTCACAGAACAATTTGATAATTTTCTGGGAATTTTATCACCGAACCAATCTGCACCACTTCGAGTTGTTCCAAAAAAACAATAATCTATGGAATGAGTATTTTCGGAAAACTTATTTCCACAATTGTTATTATATGGATTCCAAGTGTATACGATGAACTGAGTGGTATTTGTAGGATTGGGAATCATGACCACGAAGTTGATCACATTTTCGGTCCACATATACTTTGAAACCATCTTTGCTAAATGAAATGGCTTGCTGAAGGCAACTGTAGACACAAGCAGATATTTTCCGTACGAATTCAACAAATTATTTTCCTTGAGCTTTGTCAGATGCTCAAGCATTTCCTTCTTGTTCCAGAACTGCATTATGATAGTTTTGATTTTGCCCCATGTTTTATTCAGAGAAGTCAATCGTATTATCATCATGGTTGCCTTGTCAAGGTTGCTCAATTCGGGAAGAGTTAATTGATCCAGTGAAATTGGTGATGAAATGTTAGTTTCCATTAGAGGTAGAGAAATCGTTATGATTTCGAATTCTTCATCGAAATATCGTTTGCTTGTCGTTGCAATACACTGCGATAGAGATCTTCTAATGTTTATTTGATTTCTTGGAAGCGGTTCAAGTTTCGTATCGCACATTACGAAAAATTGCAAAGCAAATGTGATATATATCAACATACTTCCACTACAAAACGAATGTATGTATAGAAATAGTTTGTGGCATGTTCATTCAAAGAAAACTCATGACTAATAACAATTATCTTCACAAATGTATTGTTACCTTTAGAACTTACTGCATGTAGTTAGGTATTTGAATCAATTGTGCATTTGATAACAGAAACATGCAGCTATGAGACGCATAAAGGGGTGGTCACATCAGAAATGAAGACAAGGAAGGTAATCCATTATTTCTGTTCAATCAAACGGTCAGTGACATCAAAAAATTACTTAATTTGCGTGTTCTAATGTTATGGCATGTTCTTGTTTGACTGTCGATGTTATTCATCAATAAAATTCGAATTTGTCCTCATAGTTACCCAGCAAAACTATCATTGGCAAAATATTGGCATGTTTCAATCAGTGGCGGCTCGTGACTTCATGACAGAGGAGGCTGAATGATATGAGATTTATTGTGAAAAACAACTCTCTACTCACCCAAATCAATAGCTTTAATGACATTCTGTTTACCAGTTAACCTGAACTTAATACTTGAAGAGATGTGTTCCTGTGATTCGCATTGTCTATCCAAGCCGCGAGCCAAATTTTTCAAATCATTATATCCTAATCGCCCCCAACATGATGACTTATCGGTTTAAAATAATACGCAGTACCAACAAAATAGCTTGTTCCTTACCTCAGATCCCGTCAGCCAGATATATTTTTTATAATTATCAGAATTGAACGAACGATTTTGTTTGTTACCTGTTACATCAGATTTTTTAATACCGGTGTCGGACGTTTGTTTTTCACATCAATTTATCTTCATAAGACAAAGCACTGAATGGGTTCACCAAAAAGTATTCCACTAAATCGCAATCGTTCAAAACACTCATTTTTAAGAAATTTATAGAGCCCCTAACCATTAACCCAACATAAACATAAACAATGCCCGCAATTCGCGACGCGACATGACAAACACGTCGTGCTATTCGGGCGTATTCGGGCATTTGCATTGCGCGAGTGGGTTGCGGGCTGTGAAGGAGTCTAGCCTCCTATAGATGTTGCCAAGTTGAATATTTTACACGTGATTTGCAGACTTCAACGTGTGATGCGCAATGGCAAACACTGTTGCCAATTCAAAAATATTTACCTAAAAACTGGAAATGAAATCAAAATCCATGTATTTTGGTGTCTTTTTAATGAGAAAGTATAGATAATATCAGTTCAAGGAAAATCTCTGAGGAGGCTCAGCCTCCGTTGCCTCCTCTGAGGAGCCGCCCCTGGTTTCAATGGTAAATCAAGAAAGTGACCCGCTGGCCGACTGAACGCCAATATTGGCAAAGCAGTACTTGCATTAATTTTTTTTTTTTTTTTTTTTTTTTTTTATCGCTTAGAGCGCACGAAAGGGAATCCCTATAATGTTCAAAGAACATCGTGCGTTCCTTGGGAGGATAGGGACAGGAGGTAGGTATTGGAATTTTTTTTGAACTTTTGGAGATTATATGTTGTTGGGATTACTTCCACAGGCAATGAATTCCAGAGCCTAGCCGTTCTGTGGATGAAGGAGTCTTGATAAAGTGCTGTTCGACATCTTTCGAGGTTGACAACGAAAGGATGTGCTGACTGGGCTTGTCTAGTTCGTCTGATTGGTATTGCTAGTGAAGGGATGATAGCAGAGATTTGCGAAGAACATTTCCCGTGGAAGTATCGATAGAAAAGTGAAAGGTCGCCGACCTTTCTACGATGTTCCAATGATGTCAAAGAGTGAGTGAGTGTGGCGTCACCCACCAGGCGAATGGCTCTTCTCTGGATGGAATCTAAGAGCATCAGTGTATGTTTTGGTGCTGAACCCCATATGTGGGAACAGTATTCTAGAACAGGCCGTATCTGCGCTTTGTAGATCATGAGAAGCTGTTGAGGTGTAAAGTAGCTTTTCGCACGGAACAAGAATCCGAGTTTTTGTGAAGCAGCTTTTGCGATGGATCTGACATGATTGTCCCATGAAAGAGTGTTGCTGATGGAAATACCGAGCATAGATATGGTGGGCTTGGTGGGGATGGTGGAGCCAGACATTACAATATCGGGCATACTGAGTTCCGCCTTTCTAGAGAAAATGCAGGCTTGAGTTTTGGTGGCGTTGAATTCAACTAGGTTGTTTGTTCCCCAGGCTGTGATTTCAGCAAGATCTTCATTGACAGCATTGACCTGCCTGCGCCGTGAGTTCTTAGTTTCCTGGGAAGAAATGGGAATCCTAGAAGAGAACGCAGTGTGGAGGGTACTATCATCTGCAAAGCTATGAATGGGGCAAGTTGTTACTCCCAACAGATCATTGATATGAAGCAGGAATAATGTTGGTGCCAAAATTGATCCTTGTGGAACGCCGGAATTGATGCCAAAGGTATCAGACGATACACCGTCCACCACCACGTGAAGCGATCTGCCTGAAAGAAAACTCGATAAGAGATGGCATAGCTGAGGTGGTAAGCCGTATGATGGTAGTTTGTGGAGGAGTCCTTCGTGCCAAACACGGTCGAATGCTTTCGAAATGTCCAACGCGACAGCTAGAGATTCCCCGTGTTTTTCTATTGCCGGTGATGGGAGCCTTTCCCATTGTAAACACAAACAGTTTGTGGTTATGTATAGAAAATATTATTTTATACTGAAAAGTGCACAAAAATTGCCAGTGCTGTAACTTCTGAATCATTCTAGATCGAAATTTGACATTTGGTAGGTAGCAAAAATACCAAATTCCTCATTCATTGACCAAACAATTTTCAATTATCATTTCCGGTTCGACCGGAATCAGGTGATCGTCCTACACATACCAGAAAAGTGGACAAACTCATTCCATCTCTTATAAATAGTTATTTAAAAGCAGTAGATTTTAGCCCCAGTCCGTTGGGAGACAAAAAACCGTGAGCTGAAATCTAATATGTTTCTCGAGTATAATATACACTATTGTTTTCTGTGACAGGAAAACGGACGAATCAATATTGAGAAGATATTGCATTATTCGCGGGAATCAATGTCACCAGGTGGCGTTCGGTTTTCATCGTTCATTGTCAAAGCCACGTCAAAACTGGGGGAAAACAAACTCAATCCTCACTCAATCCCATTAGGGCCATTAGCTTGTGTACTATGTACTGATAAGAGTGATAAGTTTTTAAATTTCTTGACATTGATTGTCAATATTCGATCGGAAACGCTAATATTGCCTGTTGTTGATGTTCTTTTGGCAAATATTTTGCTCTATTCAGATGGAAACAGCCGACCAGTATCAACAAAAGGCACATTTTTGCACTTTGTCTACACACTTCAGCGATGAAATCTTCCCCACATGAAGTAAAATTGAAGTTGGGGTCCAGAGGAACTCCTGTAGAACAATGAATTTGTATTTGTTCATGCAAAGCAGGACAATCTGGGTATTGTAAACATTGATTTGCTCGTCATAATTAGTTCAAATTGTTTGAACTATCTCCAATTCTTCACCCGTTCACTGTTCACTAAACTAATAAAAATGTAATAATGTAAATAAATTAACCAACTCAACCATCATCACTACCAAACGTGCCAACACTTTATGTCATTGACAAGTTTGACTACAGCTACAGCAAGCTGAATGCAAAGATCAGTCACTCTGAATGTAGTCTATACATTTTATCCATAGACAACAGTTTGTTTTCCCCCAGTTTGAAGTTCGTATTATGTAACCTAGATGTCGCCCACTTCGTGAATCTCGCGAATATCAAAGTTTGATTGATAGAGCATTATTCCTTCCTTTCTTTTATCAATTTTACTCCACTTTGAGAAATATCGACTTCTACCAAAGATTATCGATAGAAATGTTGAATTCCTGGGTATGAAGCTATAGGTATATCTCTTTCTAAATTGTGAATTGAATTAGTATGAGAGAAAAATTGAATTAGTATGATAGAAAAAACGTACAATTCTTCATGGTACATTAGTTGTATCCCATTTTAGTTGAACTAATGATTAATTATATAAAAGGAATGCTCTGGAAAAAACAACAACCATTGTATCTAATTGAGCTCAGCTATAAAGGTGATTATTTACAACCTATCATGCAATCATGTAGGGTATTTCTCGATATTTTAGTTTTATGAGAGATTATCAGCGATACTGTTCGATTTCCCTTGATAAAAGGTAATCGTACAGAATAACGACTGAATTTTGAATTGGATCAATTATCTACTTCGAAATATAAACTACGCAACACTAATTTCGTCGCACACCAAAATTTTGTCCCTGTTATGAATAACTCTTTACTGCTTTCAACAATCTGAATTCGGATCACGCTGTTCGCTAGCCCTGTCATTCAGCTATAATCGCGTACTTCTTTAAAACATGAGGTTCTTAATATAAAATCGCTACAGGGTGTCACCTGAAACTAACAAAATTAACTTTTTGGTTTTGAAGTCATAACTTTTTTCCTCGCCAACCGATTTTTTAAATCTCGGGCTCATTTTGGAGCATGAAATTCAGAAGAAGAGATATAAAGATCAGAATTGACTTGAGATAAACATTATACAGTGTGTCTCACTTCTAATGGAAGCATCCCTGGATCTTTCGTAATTATTAAGTTAGGATATCTCTTTCCAAAGACTCGTTCATCCAACGAACAGCTAGGCTCCGGAACACATTGCCAAGGGAGGTGTTCTCCTAGGCATATAACCTCCAAAAACAGAGGAACACCAATTCCTACCTTATTTTCCTTGGTTCTCACGATGTTCTCTGAACATTACAGGATATCCCTTTTCGTGAGAACCAGAACATGAAAATATATATATATATATATATCAGGTGTGGAATAAGTCTTTTTATGTTCTTGTAAGTATAACTGACCTAGTGATGATCATTCATCTGTTCGTAGATTCGAAATAACTGATGTATAGGAACTTGTATTGTTATACTAATAAAAGTGTTTTTCGAATTGATTTTTGTTGTTGTTTATTGAGAAAAAAAATTGTTCATTAGTAAAAACAAATATAATTCATGAATAATTGAGTCCAGTCCGTTTTCAACAAGTCCGTATACGATTTTTCTAGTTAATTCCGAATCTACGATCAGATTAATGTTAATTGTTATACTAGGGGCTGGTTGCATAAAGCTCTCTGTTAACTTAACGAGGAATCAACTTTCATGACTCATCAGGTAAAGCATACGTTGCCATAGATATAAATTAAATATTCAATCGTCTCTCAAATGCTTTATGCAACCGGTTCTAGTTCAGTTATACAGGGTTTCCCTAGAAGGTCTGTTCAAAATCTTAGCACAGGTCAAAATAAGCCGATTTGAAGCAACTTTTGTGCGAAATTGCTCCGTTTACGAGATACAAGGTGGTAAATTTAAATAATAAAAATCAACAAGGACACTCCAAAAAAGTAAATGAAAAATCCATTCTTGCACTACTCATTCACTGACCCAATAACATTCTCAAAGATAACAGCAAACATGCATTTTTCTATTCAAAATATTTTGAATATTCCGGTGCGGCATCAAACACTTGAAACCGAATCATCCCGAAATCTGCTTACTTTAGCGAATTCTTACAAGAGTACCTTTTTTGCTTAAAAATATTAAAAACATGATTTCAACAACAACAAAAGTGAAAAAGTACATTGAGAAAAAAGTTCAGGCCCTCCTGAACCATAAGAAGTGCATTGGTAAGTGCCCTCTAATGACAACAGTGAAAATGTGTCCGTATTCGTGTTCCGCATCCCAAAGATCCCCCGGCTACCATTTTTTATGTCTTGGTTTCGTAAAAATTTATCATATTTCCATTTCTGATGATATTTTAGCCGACAATTAATGAAAAAAAAAACCGGAATGATTGAAATTGTGCCAGAAACTTTATCAACAAGTTCCTATAGTATTTTCCCGTAGATTCTTCTTTTTCTTCCTTGTTTCCTAAGCGTCGGCCTTTTTCTGCTACTGAGGCTAATCTCCGACGCCAATGAGCATACTTCCCCCAACCGGAAATTTTGCCGAATCCTCTGGTGTTCCAACCAGCTAACCAGTCCAACATCCATGGCATCGGGACCGCCGGCTTAACGCTTAACGTCCCCTCCGAAGGACGGTATATCCGTAATATATCTTGTGCTCATCATGCTGTGATATGCTATTTCGTTACAGATGTGCGGGCTTACGCGGCGTTTCCTCGAATGATCACCCATCCAAGTAATAAACGCGCACGACACTGCATTACCTCAGATATCGAACGGCTAGTGCCTTACCTGAGAAGCTAGGGCCCCATTCCCCGTAGATTCATAATATGATCTCAGATTTTCGATAATTATTATAAGGGTGAGTTATTCTCACAATAACACAATAGGAAAAGAATATATTCTGGTCCTGATATTGGTTACGTTCAGAAGGCTACTTCTTGTAGCCTTTGAGTTCAATTTATGTACCAAATTCGAACCCAATCGGGTAATCCCTGTATTCAATATTGTCAGTAGCGAAGCGGTTTTGGACATTTGTATATGACATTTTGTGCTCATATTGGCAGGCCCTATAACCCCATACGTTTCGTGGGTTTTATCTCTGGACACCCTGTTCGGTGTTATTTGAAAAAAATCGGAAAGAAAATATCTGGAAATGTAGGAAGTGAACTGACTGACATTTATTTATTTATTTATTTATTAAATAGGCCGCCAGACAGGTAGTTATACCCAATAATGAGGCGGCACACTTACAGGTACACATATAAAATTTATGAAAGCATGAGTAACACATAATTAACATCAAATCACTAATCTAAATCAACTAATACTAAAAAAAAGCTACCAACAAAACAAAAATAATCGAGAATTTCACTCACGAATGTATGGTGAATTTTGTTTTGATAATTTTTCTAAACTGGTTAATTTTGAGGTGGAAAATATCAAGTTGATAATCCACTGATTTTGCTGTGAACCGATTATGCGTGAGGCAGCATCGGATCATTGGAGAATTTAAGGTATAATTTGTTAAATGAGTACTTACAATGAAGGTTCCTCTATTTCGCATGATAAAAGAAGTGCAATTGAATGAGATGAAACGTGAACAATAGTCGGAATCAATCAATCCATTAACAATTTTGTAAATGAAACATAGATCGAAATAAATTCTTCTATCTTGAAGCAGTTCAATATTATAGAGCCGTAAATTTGATTCATAATCAGAGAAGTGTTGTTGCCTATGAAATCTATAATTGAGTGAATTAATAAGTTTTTTTTGAACACGTTCAATCTGTGATACATATTTTTCATAGAATGGGTTCCATACTGTTGTGCAATATTCTAATATAGGTCGTACAAGAGTGTTGAATAACATTATGATAGAGCTATCATTGTTAAATTCTCGAGAAATTCTTAAAATAAAGCTAAGTGTCCTCATTGCTTTTTTAACCATACTCTCAATATGTTTCTGAAATGTCAATTTTCCGTCCAATAACAGACCTAGATCCTTCACAGAGTCTACAAATCGGATTGACACGTCATCAATAAACAGGTTGATAGTATTGGGTGCTATAACATGAGAAAACAGTATTGCGTGACATTTATCCGGATTAACAATGAATTTATGACGCCTGCAGTAGTCAGAGAAACGATTCAAATCTGATTGCAATTTAATGTAGTCGTCAATGCCCCTAATGGTCCTGAAGATTTTCAGATCATCTGCATAAAGACTATATTCAGAGAAATGAAAACAATTGCCAATATCGAAAAGAAAAATTGAGAATAACAGGGGTCCCAAATGTGAGCCTTGAGGTACGCCTGAAGTTACATCAATTAAGAACGATCGACTGTTATTCAGAGCAACATATTGTTTCCTATCACTTATCACATGATTACATCTTTGTATTCCAGAGACCTGTTGCGCTCGAAATCGACCAAGCCGCACGAGCTGCGCGAAACCAACGGCCAAGGCGTCACCGTCACCAACCTGCACTCGCAGACCTGCCAGAGCGCCAAGGACATGTGCAGGGCGATGCGCGCCGGCAACGCTATACGCACCACCGGCCGCACGAACATGAACGAGCACAGCTCGCGCTCGCACGCCATCTTCCAGATCGTGATCGAGATGGCCGAGGAGCGCTCCAAGTCGGTCAAGATCGGCAAGCTGAGCCTGGTCGATCTGGCCGGCAGCGAACGTCAGTCGAAGACCGGCGCTACGGGGGACAGGTTCAAGGAGGCTACGAAGATCAACAAGTCGCTTTCTTCTTTGGGTGAGCCCTCAGACTAAAGGTATGTTCATGCTTGTACGAATTCGGCAAAATTTAGGCGAATCGCAAAATATGAAATTCCCAACAGATTTCGACGTTCATACTCATGCGACGAAATATACTGGAGATAAGAGTTCTGTTGTCATATATATCTTTCTTTGGTCCCACCATTGATAGAAGTTCAATTTTGCACTTATCATGCGATGGGTTAATTTTCGAAAAATTTTTTTGGTAGTTACGCATTTTTGTCTGAAAAACACGAATTTGATAATGAAAATGTGAACAAACCACTATTCATCAAGATATTTCAAGAAAAAGTTCGAAATTTTGCCTTCCTTTCCTCCTTGTGTTTGGGTGCAATTACAGGTACTTGCTCTTTTTATTTTGTCATTGGACACTTTATATACTCATGACATATGACATATTAAGATAGAAAATTCAACAGGAAATATGATTTTCATGGCGAATTTTTCCTTTTTAGTGAGCAAGCATACCAGATGACGGCCATTTAATCCATAGGCAATCCAAATACGAGATGTCAAATGATATTCTTCCTTCTTTTCACTAAACATGGACACATCACAAGAAAATCATATTTCTAGTTGACTCATATAATAAAAAAAATGTGTCCAACATTGTGGGATATGTATAAATTGTTCAATGATGGAAAAAGAAGGGCAAATTGTTCTAAATGCGATCCAGAAGACAGGCGGAAAAGAAGGTGAAATTTGTAACTTTATAGTGAAATATCTTAATAAATAATAGTTTGTTCACATTTTCATTATCAAATTCGTGTTTTTCAGACGAAAATACGTAAGTACCAAAACAAAATTTCGAAAAAAAACCATCGCATGATAAGTGCAAAATTACCGAAGTTCATCAAATTGAAGGCACATTACACGAAAGTAATTGGAATATTTATTAGGGTCATACAGTCGCATTTATTCAACAAGGCTGTAATAATCTCCATCCATTTTCGGCATTTAAAAATGCTTCGAACAGTACAGGTCCATTTTTGCTTCTGGATACATCATTAGTTCTATAGAGACGATACAGATGATACTTTGAAATTGATTCGTACAGAGAATCCATCCTGCGAAGAAATTTCAATCAAATGAAATGATGAAATTTTTGATTATAATTTTGTACTTACCTGTAGTTCTAATGTCTAGTGTCGTCTCTTTTCGGCCTCTGATGTCCGCCCTCTAATTCCCCAATTTTGATGTTCTCAACACATTCTATGTGGATATGATTCCATCCGAATTCGTAAAAAAGTTCAAATATTTCAACTTTATTGCGAAATTCGCAGTCGCCATTTTATTCGCATAAATTTTGCGGAAATCGTACCAGCATGAACATACCTTGATAGGGAATTCCATTGGCAGGAACTACAGGGTAGATACTTTAACTGGAATGAATTCGCTACTGAGGAAGTGAATGATTTTTCTGAAAATTCGCGAGACACGTCAACGTTTGAATGTATTTACCTACATTTGGCGAGCAATGTGGAGAATATAACCCTTCAAGGGTAGCTAAAATCAACCCCAACATGTTTATTTCGAATGCAACTCTTTGGCTTGCGACCGCTCATTGGAAAGCTGGTTGAAAGAGGAATTCAGCCATAGACATATAAAAAGAGGGGAGACATAACATTTCATTCATAAAACACCATTTGTTTACAATCATACATACTGCCGAAGTTTCAAATGAGTTAGAAAGAGATGGCTTCAAAAAAATGCAAAAATGGCAACGCTGTAGGCTGCGCGTCAATTTCACACATATTTCTTTACCAGTGCCGTAGGTTTCTTTGGGAGGGATGTTGAATGGAATGTAAACAATACGATCAAACTAGCTTCATTTATTACTGGAATATTATATCGACATAATACCATGAATAAGTACATCATATACACAATTTACAAAATATTTATTCATTCCTGAATAATATTGTTTTTGTATTGATACTTCTAGATCTATTTGTTTTGCTTGCATCTAGTTTTCTTATGGTTTCATAATAAATTCTTATGTTGAAATAAGATTTCAAAATGAATTTCGAAACACGAATCGAATGTTCTGATAGAACTTCATCATCATAAATATGGTCTCCAAATATTTCGAATACAGAAGTGGGTACATTATTTAAAGTTTTAGTAATTAATATATTTGATAAATTTTTATTTTTTTGATTGAAAATTCCTTGTGTGTTATTAAAAAATCTGAAAAATTTTTCCCCTTCTTTGCATAGATCCACCACAAATTTAGATGGTTTCAAAAGCCGCCCATAAGTTTTTCGTTTTTGTAACTGAGAAGTTGCATCTTCACTTTCCAAACAGTTCAAGCATTTCGAACAGTCTACAAATTTTTTCACACCTTTAACTACAAATCCGGCAATGTAAGATACAATATCTTCTACATAACATGTGAGTTTCCACGCATCAGACATCACATAATTTTCCTTTATATTTTCCTCAACTGTTTTTAAATAGTTTTTATATTCATCCCCGTTCTCAACTTTTTCTCCCATTTCTGTATTCAAAACCTTTGGTACGGATCCATTCGTTAAAATTGGAATTGATTCCAAATCTACGGCGTTTCCCGTTTTGGGCGCCCTAATTTCTGAGTGGACTAATAACCTTTTATAAGCAGCCTCGAACTGTCTAGCTGTGGGATTATTATTATATCCACCTTTACTCCTCACAGCTCCAAAAAATAATTCCAGGTGATCCTGGGATAACTTGTAGGTTAAAATATATTTCAATATTTTTTTTTCCTCAACATAATATTTGTACATACCTTGTAAACTTTCCATACAAACTAGAAAGCCCAAAAATCCCGTTTTCCTTTGGGATTGCAAAATTGGCCTCCCTTTTAGAGTAAGTCCAATAATATACGATTTCATTGTTTTGAAATATTCACGAATAATTTCTATATTGCTTTTTGATAAAGGTTTTTTGAATGAATACTTTGCAAATCTGTTACGAGAGTTAAAAATATCAAAGAGATTATTGAAATTTAATAAAAAATCAGAGGTAGCCTCAGAGTTCTGAAAATCGGGGCATTTTATATCATCTCTAAGGAAAGTTAGAGCATCGCTCACACTTTTACTAAGTGTTTGAGCTGCCAGACGAACTTTCATCTTCTCCCTCTCCCATTGAAGGTGTCTCATTCTTACTTTTGTAGCAGCATGCAGCCCTTCTGAGTTTTGTTTTTCTACTAATCGGGTTATGTAACTCCATTTTATATTCAATTTGTTTTCATCAATAATCTCTTCTTGGCTAGCTAAACAGTTCCTAACAAGCTTAATCATGTGACATGGATCAAAATAAATGAAAACAGGTTCTTTTGTTATAGGATGTTCAAATTTTGTCTGTAAATGGAGGGGGTTGGAGAAATTTGCCCCAAGCTTCTCACACATTGAAATATTTGCTGGTGCTCCATCAAAAGTCAAAGATGTTATGATTACTCCACTTTCGTGCAAAAATTCCAAGCATTTCTTCACCAACTCTGCCTTCTCTGTTGCTGACAACCCATCGATCAAAAAGTATCCCACTGGAATTTTCCAGGAGGAATTTATGCCAACTACCATAAAAACCAACGCTTCTCTAGCTTCTGGTAAACTGTCGCTATCTATTGTAGTTCCCAAGTCCACATACCCTGTAAATTTGGAGCCAGTCCATTCTACTTGCTTCCTTATGGACATTTCATCCATCACCAAATTGCAAAGGATTGGACGAGAAGAACTTTTTTGCTTTGAAATTAAGGCATTTAGTGCCTCTTGAGTAAATCCGGGGCTGCCATCAACAGATCGATACCACCTTGAAATCGTTCCTAAATGTGGCAAACTCCTATTGAAAGTATTCCTTACAAAATTGTAGGCTTTTGGCGAGTAAAACGATAAGGTCAAGGCAAAGGAACGCAATGAAGGGTTATATTTTTGCCTGATGGGTCCTTTCAACATCCTTTCAAAAATGTCCTGAGCTGGTCCAGCAAGTGAAGCCTTGAAAAATTATAGGTACTATTAACATCTACAGGGTGTTTCATGAAGTTCTCCCATCACTGATGTTCTATAGGTTATTTCCTCGGTTATTTCTAGTCAAAAAGTCTTAAAGAAAGTTCATGTGAATATGTGCCCGATTCATTCAATTATTATTTTTCTTTTATTCACAGATGTGCGGATAAATGTATTGGAGTAGGCTATAGTGAAAATCTTTTGAATTAATAAATTTAGGTACTGTTATTACCGATGTTGTTGGAGTGAAATATCAATTAATTGCAATTGAATAATTATTTTCAAACTCTTTCAGCTCAAAAAGTAGAGGGAATCGGACAAATTTCAATATGAACTAAGATATATTTTGAATTTCATGCTTCATCAGTGCCAGCAGAACTACATAAAACACCTGGTATTATTACATACAGAAAACTACTCATGATATTCAATATTTTAAACAAGATTTTAATAATCAAAAACAATATTATATACCTTTATAGTTGATTCAGAAGATTCACTTATTAAGGATTTTTCTTTCAAATAGTCGATCAAGTTCTGCATTGATGTTATCCTTATTTTTAATCTTCTTACAGTCATTTGTAAGGTATGTACTTTACGTCTTCGTCTTTCGTCGCAGCTCTTCACAAAAGCTAAATTTCTACTTCTCTTTTCTGGAGTTGAAAAATCGCTACTTGTGAGATCTCCAATGTATCGTTTTCTAAAATTGAAAAGAAATTTAGTATGCAAAAATCTACTAGAAGTAATAATTATGATATGCACCTTTTTCTAATCCTTTGATGATCTTGCCTTTTTGAATCTATAGCTCCTGAAAAAGCAGAAGAGGGCTGTGGTGATCCTGCCCTGCAAATAAAAAAATATCAATTGAAGCATAATATGATAATATTGTTAGTGTTTTTCCAATGATTTTTTACAACAGTTACCTCAAATTTAACATGTATAGATTTGAAAAATCAAACGTTCATTGTACATACCTCAAAGTGGAGTGATGGGATTCATATTAAAATGAAAAAAGCACGAAGTGGAGATGACTGCGTGCTTCTTTCATTTGATATAGAAAAAAACATGTAGATTATACAATAATTGAGACCAGAAATAATAACTCATAAAAAGAAATATTCAATTACAAAGAGGGTACGCTACCCTCTATCTATTATATCAAAAAACACATACCGGTGAATTACCATTTCCGTTTCTGAAGCAGTTTCTGTTGTTTCTGTAGACGAAAAGGATTTCTGTTCGAAATGTTTGGTTTCAGGCAAGATTCTGTAAAATTTCAAGTTAACTAATATTTTTATCTAATAATATAGGTATTTTCAAACTTACAAATTTGAGGAGCCCACATTGTTTTGCTCAGCTGTGACTTCGGTCAGATCTGAGGGCAGAACAGAACATTCTGAATTTTCAAATGGGCTTTCAAAATCAACATCTAGCGATCTGAAAGTTATACACAAATACGGATATTAGAACAAAATTATAAGAGCATAAATGAAGTTTGAAACTTAACAATCAACAGAAGGTAATTAAATTATACACATTGTTTACTTACCTAAGAAGTTTTTTAGGAGAGTTGCTGATGGTGGAGTCCGAACTAAAAAAATACAAAAAATAATGAATGAAGAGTGACGAAAAAAGTATTCAATATTATACGAGAAACTTCTTTATTACCTACCGGTTTCTAAGAAAATTTCATTTCTGATAAAAAGTCGACGCTGGCTTTGAAACTTGAATAATTATCAAGTGGTAAACCGTGTTGGAATTATGGCTTACAAACTGGAATTTCTTTGATTTCTTTGGAATACCCTTGAATATCCTGGATTTTTCGGTATAATTCGGGTGTATAAACAACTGGAATTCTTTGGAATTCCTTGGAATTTTCTGTGAAATCGAAGTTTGGTGTAGGTACCCAATTTTGACAGTCGTTTACCCCTTGATTAGTATTTTGGGTTTCGTGTAAATAAGGCTTTGAGTGCGGTATCAAATGTCATTTTCTGAAATCGCGTCAGGAGTGTACCTACCTTAAAAACATACCTATTCCTCTCCCTATCCTGCCTAGGTATGCACGATGTTCTCCGAAGATTATAGGGATTCCCTTTCGTGCGCATCAAGCAATAAAAAAATTGAGAAGGTCTTCAAATTACCAAATCACAAAAATTATCCAAACATGAAATATGAGTAAGTACCAACATCAACTTTTAATTTTGTAATTTTTCTTTCAATATTTCCTTTAACAGGACGCCATTTCAGAGATAAAAGCCAGTTTTCGTACCAGTGTGTTCAATTTTATTGTGTTCTCGAGATTAGTGTGTTATATTTTTTTTACCTGAAAGATGAAGCCCCAGTGAAGACTGTTGTGTTCAATTGGGGCTCAGCATCTGGTCTTATTTGTCTTCGACCAGATAATTCGGTAACCATAATATCGCTCTGATCAAAGTGATTTGAGCAAATCTGAGCATACTTTATGATGTGCTGATTCTCCAGATCTAAAAGAGAAATCCACCTCTGCCTGCGCTCAGGATTCACGGGAAAACTGAAACAATAACACATTATTGCATACATACTTGGGTACCTATTTTTAATTTTTATTAGGAACATTAATTCCACTGATATTCTATTGCATAATATGATATTCGATATACAATGTGTTTCTTGAGTACGTGTGAAAAATTCAATCTCCGCAAGTTATTCATTTCTGAAATACAGAGTGTCGAAGTTTGATTCTTTATCCTGTTTTTTTTTCGTCAATAAATTCAAGAATAAACGTGATATGCGAGTGAAATATGGTATCTCACCCAAATATCACGATCATTTTGAAATTTATTCACAAAAAACCGAAGTAACAATCAAACTTTGACACTATGTAGCTCTGAAACGAATAATTTGCGGACATAATATGTTTATACGAACTTTTCTTCTTAATAATTTGACTTCAGCAACATGCTGCTCAATTTTTAAGACGTACTCAAGAAACACCGTGTATATTGTCAAGCGAGAAGAAAGGCAATTTAACAACAATGACAATGCTATTATATTATATTATATCTATTGGAAAATATTCGTGTAGTAGCTTAGGTATTTACCTGATTTTGATTCATCATTAAGTGAAATTCAATATGACTCAGTTGAATAACATACCCCACAACTACACCACTGCTGAAGTTACAAGAAACATGCATAACCTTACTTACCGTCGAAATACCAATTCAGGGTTTGAATGGTCAACTTTATTACAGACCACGCACTGACGAACCATAGTGGATTAATAATAATAATTGTCTTTGTCTTTAGATCGTTTTGTGACACTTAAAACGCCGAAAATCAATTTAAACACACAAAAGGTTATAAACACAACACAGCAACACTGTAAAGTAGGAATATGACATGATTGAATGACTTTGCGTAATTTCGTAGTAATAAAGCCAATGCATCGTTGCCAAAGTTATTTCCATAATTCATTATAATTTTATATAATCATGAAATTAGGAAAACCCGAACAATTTCAAGAGCAGAATTTATAAATTTCAATCAAAGAACAATCATACGGAATGAATATAGGTACATAAAACGTATATTATATAATTAATGTATGGTAAAATCATCCCTCGTTTCTAAACACAGGCGGTAGATCTAGGGCAATCCGCAGAAGTTTGTCATCATCGACTTCTGCTGAAAAAGATGTTGGATCGGGACAAAATGTAAACAATTCCGTCTCCTCTTTTTATATGTCTATGAATTCAGCGTACTGATCATATTTCAGATTGCAGTAAGTTTGGGGATCGCATAAAATCAGAATATAATTTCGAAGTTCAATATATTTTCAACGGATTTTTATACAAATTTCGACTTTTAATGAAAGTTTTATAGGGCATTTCCACCAGTTTGCAATAAATCTTTGTTTCAAACTGTGAAAACGGCAAAAAAACTAAATTTCTTTTTGTGGCTCTATAAAAACACTGGAATACAATAGCAGATAGCAGTTGTGACAAAAAATTGCCATCAATTGTTCAACACACATTTTGAGCGATTGATACGTTGAAAAAAATTGAATTTTAAATTAACATTTCAATTTTATGCAACCTTTGAACGTATGAAAAACAAAAATTTGACTAGTACGCTGGATTCCTCTTTCCACCAGCTTTCCAATGAGGGGTCACAAGTCATGGGGTTACATTGGAAAAAATCATGTTGGGGTGTTTTCACCTACCCCTGGAGGGATATATTCTCGATATTGCTTGCAAAAGGTAGGTAAATACATTGAATCGTTGACGTATTTCGGAAAATTTTTGACAAAATATTCTCCTTCCCTCTAACGAATTTATTCCAGTTAATGTCTCCACACTGTATGTTTCCTTCTTCTTCTCATGTGTTGAACAGAGGTGAATATACACTCAGTGGAGAAACACTGCATCAGTTGCTGCCAATGGAATTCGCTATTAATAACAATAGATATGCACTGCGATTCATTCATAAATTTTTTCAATTCATTTTAAATGAAGGTAGTCAACGTAGTTTATTAATATGTAATTATTCATGGCCATTACTCTGGAGTTTGATGAGATACAAGGTGTTACAAATTCGTGGCTTAGCATGGGAATCTCGGTCATCTTAAAAGATATAGAGTAGGTTATAATTTTTGGCAAAGTTGCACCATTTCATGCTCAACAGAATGCTGCTTTATTTCCGGAGATATCCGGAAACAAGGAAACATACAAAATCGTTTTATTACTCGGTTTATTTGAAGAGATATTTCAAAATGAATGTCACTTCATCATTGCCACTTATCGTCCTCTACAAAATCGAATTGTCAAATTGGAAATCCGACGTTCCTTCTTCCAGCGGTCATCATCAACTTTATTCTTCGTAATACGGACCTGGATATTTTTATTTCATTTTTCGATAGTTTTCCATCTCCTTGATATGATGGTGTACCTAAACTATTCATAAAAAATGTTTACTTCAGTGAAAAAAATGCGTTTTTTATGTTAATTTGTCTATTCAATGCCAAGTACCTCCTACATAATTGAATTGCTCTTATTCAAAATGTATTATTAGTTATAACAAACCAAAAATGAAAATCAAAGAATTGTTTATTATTTAATGAAATAATATTTATGAATGATGAAAACACAATTTATTCAAACAAATACATTTTGAAATATCTCTTCAAATAAACTGAGTAATAAATATAAACAATTCTGCATTTTTTTTTCGGAAATCTCCGAGAGAAATTGAAATTTTTCCAATTTCACAGCAGCATTTTGTTGTGCATGTAATGGTGCAACTTTGCACTAATTTAACCTACTCTGTATCTCTTGAGGTTACCGAGATCCCCATGCTTAGCCAAGAATTTGTAACACCCTGTATAGTAGATCAGTATAGATAAGAAAATCTATTCCAAAGTTTTGATTTTTGAATCCCTATCTCATGATATTCATATGAGAGATGTTACGTCACCGTTGTTGGAGTAATGGACGACTTTTCTAAATACTAACGGGAGTCATGTGACACCTCATTTGAAAGGTCTGCTGATCTAAAATTCATAATATCAATTTGAGCAACTTCCTTACCATTGAGTAGATTATTCACATGAATTTCACAGTCAGATTCATTACCGAGTTGTAATACTATATTTTTCTTAACTCGATACCTTCCTTCAGGCAATGTCATCTATGCTTTGGCAGAAAATTCTTCTCACATTCCTTATCGGGACTCGAAACTGACGAGACTCCTTCAAGATTCGTTGGGAGGAAACAGCAAAACAATCATGATTGCCAACGTAGGACCTGCTAGTATGAATTATGAAGAAACAATAGTAACTCTCAGGTATACGAAATTGTTTTTTCTATGACGGTAAAAAAGTTTGATATTTCATCTCTGTTGGCAGGTTATAAAATGTCACTTTTCATAAATTATTTCTTTCCCACGGGAAAAAAGTGAGCACCCGGATAGATTATGTCGCTAATGCTTCCACCATTTGATTCCTTCACCTCTTTTTCTACAAAAATAGTATATTTAATTTTAATCCATATCTTGTTCCATTGTAGAGAAAATCGCATTTTTTAAAAACATACATTCCAACCGTTTCAAAGGTTATATGTGATAATTGACATCAAGTTATTTTGACAGTATTCAATACTCCGTAACTAAGTACCATATACATTTTCTTATGAGTACTAACATTATTTTGGCTCACTTTCTCAGCCCTATCATTTACCCTGTATATGGATACATAATCAAATATAAACATAACTTATAAACAGTTGAACATCTCAGAAAATCATTATACATGTGCCATGTATTCCTCCAGGAATGATACAAAGTCAATCACCAATGACAAATTGCCGCCACGTCTGGTCGAATTAGTTCTGCTTCCAAAACGCATGGTGGCGCGCTGATGTCGTTCTCGACGTCACTATGGGATATTGCATTCTATTCGAGAGGGATTTTCTATGGAATACATGAAATTAGACATATATTTTTGAAATAAGGAAATTATTTTACAATATATAGGCGCCATCAGAAAAAGGTCGATGTCTCATTCAAGATTTTATTTCAAACTCTTGAATATCTTAGTTGTATTTGGAGATAATGACTGTCACAGTTGATAATTCCATAACCAGTCAACTTCACGTAAAAGGATTCTGCTAGAAAAATCATGGCATCATAGTTTGATTAAATTTGTTTGATATCGCTAATACTTCTATAGGCCAAAAAAGATTCACCCACGCTGCTCTCTTGGAATATAACAAATTACCAGATAATATAAAAAATTGCAGAAATACAATAAAATTCAAATACCATCTTAAAAAATTTATCATTTCTGAACGAAATAGATGACTTGTTTTTTTTTTTTTTTTTTTTTTCCAACTTTTGATTCATATTCAAATTGATTTTTGCTCACCAATATGAAATGATTTGTCAAAATTTAATAATTAATGTTTTCAAATATTTTATTATTCATCAGTTTATTATAATTGTATAGTTTTAGGTATTATTGTTAACTATACTTCCTTATACCAGAACTTGATTCTGACTGGAAGTAACATTTTCAATAAATAAAATAAATAAATAAATAAATAATTGATAACAAATATATTCGATATTATAATCATCATGTACTTGTGATGATGATTATTCTCCCTCAGAGAGAAGTTTCTATATCCTGCATGTTTTCCTTCAGATATGCTTATAGAGCCAAGTCGATCAAGAATAATCCTGTAAAGAACGAAGACATGAAAGACGGTAAGCTTCTGGGTCTCCAGCAAGAGATCGAACGTCTCAAACAGCTCATCATGGAGAAAAGTAACGGAGATTTCAATGCGAGTTTCAACGAAACTGATGACAATGATATCGAGAGCGACGAAGAGGGCAGTAAAGAAGAGAAAGAAAAGAAATTGGAGTTAGGAAAGATGGAGGTCGATGAACTGGCGAAAAAATTGAAGGCTTTGGAAAAACAGATGGTCCACGGTGGAAAAAATATCGTAGATAGCGTGAACGAGAACGAAATGAGACTTGAACAACAAAGAGGAGAAATTGCAGCAAGAAAGGTTTACTTCATTTTTATATCAGTTTCTGTATTCATATGACTAATTTTCAGAAACGTGAAGTAGAGATGCAACAAAAACTGGAATTGGAGGAAGAGACCTGCATTGAATTGAAGCAGGTCTTCGCAAGTCTGCAGCAACAAGTCGATTTTAAAAGAGATAAACTGAAACGTCTCAACAGCAAGTTGCAATCCATTAGGCAAGAAATAAGGGATAATCACGAAGTATACGTCAAAGACCGACAAGAAATTGAAGAAGCGAATGATGAAGCTGCCATGTGAGTTATATTCATAATAAAATTTGATCTTTCAGTCATTAGTTGACTCATTTAAGTGAAACATTGATTGTCATCATATCTTCTCTATTATTTTTCCGAATTCATTTGCTCCTCAAAATGAACGAGAGAATGTCAGGGTTGTCAGATGGCTAATAAACAATGATAGAGAATTGATTTGTTGATCTATATCTTTGAAAAAATATAAAGACACTGTCATATTCATGAGCCAACAAAATCTAGGACAGTACACATGACCTGACCATAATAAACTACCAATTAAAGAAATCTGAATTCTCCACCAGAAATCGCAGGGACCCGTCCATTTTTATACTTGGAAGGGAGCACCCTACTTTCAACACATCACTTATAAACCCTTCCTATTGCTGATTCTTTGGTGGATCGTTTTAGGAAATCGGTTGAGATTTCACACATTCATTGAACGAAATCAATACTTGTCAATATTTATTAATTAAAAAAACCACTGCTAAATCTACACCCGGTTCAGATGATATTGATGGTAGAGTAGTCAAATCGGTCGCCACACTAATTGCTAAACCGCTTTGCGATCTGGTGAATAATTCTTTTTCTCTTGGACTATTCCCAAACATCAAACAGTCCAAAGGAATACCAATTTATAAAAACAAAGGATCTCTTCAAGACATAAAAAATTACAGATTGATCTGTATACAAAATCAGTTTTCTAAAATTTTTGAGTCAGCGTATTGTCAACGGTTAACAAACTATTTGGAATGTTTTAAATTACTCCCTGACATACAACATGGCTTTAGACAAAAAAAGTCCACTACAACTGCTATCCATGATACACTTGAATTCCTGTATGAATCACTCAACGCTAAGGAAAATCCATTATGTCTATTTTATGATTTGAGTCGTGCTTTCGATACAATCGATCGCGATTTATTACTGCTAAAGTTAGAGGCTGTGGGTGTACGCGGTGTACCTCTCGATTGGGCAAAGTCCTACCTGTCTGACCGTAATTGCAATGTATGAAAATACTAAGTCAGGGATAAGGGAATCCAATTTAGGAGTACCGCAAGGGTCAATATTGGGACCCTTATTCTTCATCATTTTCACTTCTGATATCAAAAATTACTGCAACTATCCTGATAAAATTATATTATATGCTGACGACACTAATATTTTGATGTCCAATAGTAACATTGAACAACTAGTCACAAATTGTAATGCAGCTTCTAGTCAGTTTCATGGATATTGTACTCTGAATGGTCTGGAATTGAATGTCACAAAAACATATTTCATGAGGTTCATACCAAGAAATGTCACACCTAACTATAATCTCTACCTGCATATCAATAACAAATCAATCAAGGGAACAGATAACATTAAATTTCTAGGTGTTACTCTTGACCCGAAGTTATCGTGGGACGCTCATATAAAAACTGTATGCTCCCGGCTAAGCACATGTTGCTATATGATCAGGAATCTTAGAGACACGGTTTCTTTCGAGGTATTAAAACTACTCTATTTTGGACATGTTCAATCAGTTCTACAGTATGGACTAGTGTTCTGGGGGTCATCTTCACATGCTGATAAGGCTTTCAGTGCACAGAAAAAAATATTGAGAACTATGTTCAACGTACATCCAATGTCAACATGTAGATATTTATTTAAAAAATCACAAATACTAACATTGCCTAGTTTATATATATTTCAAATAATTACACATGTTAAAGGAAATGAAAACAATTTCAAAAAAAATGAGGACTTGCACTCGTATGACACACGTATGAAAGATAATATCTATCAGAGGTATTCTCGACTTCAAATTTGCCAGAATTCACCCAACTATATAGGAGTTAAGTTATACAATAAGTTCAAAAGTATATGTGATAAAGAATACACCAATTGTAATATGTCCTTCAGAAACAAACTCAAACATTTATTAACCGAACATATTTTTTATAACGTAGGGGAGTTTCTCAATTTTTAAAACTACTTCAACTGTTGTAATTTAAAGTGTATTTTAATATTAATTTTAAAGTGTATTTATGCCCCATGTTTTTTTTGACTAGTCCGATAAATATGCATTTGTTTTTGGTCTGTATTGATTGAATTTATTTGTATGTTTTTGTGATGAATAAACTGATTCTGATTCTGATTCTATTTGTCAAACGACTAACATTCACCTTGAAATTTATACTCAAAATTGCGCATTCATTAAAAGCTTGTCATCAATACACAATTACTATTCATTAGTATTTTGAAGGATATTGTCCTATGACTTTTTTGTTTGCAAACAAATTAGATTAGATAAGATTACTTTTATTGTTTCAATAAACTCACAAAAAACAAGTTTTATAACAATGAGTTTAGTACAATAATCAAATGTGTGCTGGCTATAAAGAGTGGGGGAAAAACAGAATGTATCTCCATGAATAAGACCTCTGCCTTAAAACAGCAAGCATTAGTTGGAAAAAAAGATATTCTAACATACAAGGATAATGAAAAAGTGATATGATCATAGAGGGTATAACATGGAACATAGACAAACTCTGTTCATATATAAATACAGTTATCAAGTGTTATGATGAGATTGTCTAAAGATGTTGAATAAACACAGTCAGGTGGGCATAAAGGTCTGTAAATTGGACATTCAAAAAGCAGGTGAATTGTTTCTAGGCAATTAAGATTACAGACAGAACATAATTCTTTAGGATCAATTGTATAGAAAACGCCACTGTGAGAAAATATATGAAAGTATTTATTGCATACTCTCAGCTGAGCTATTGTTCTGATGAACTGACTGGAAATGTCAGATTGTGATTAGCGCTTTGCAGGCCTGGAGACAGTGAATAAGTAGTAGTGGCATAACCAGTTAGAGTTGAGCAATGAGGTACAATCATCACGATATAATTTTTCTTTAAATTTGTTCAGTATTTCAGTTTTGTGGAGTTTGAGTGAATCCAAGCTAATAATTTCGAAAATTTCTCGGGAGTCCGCTATTTCGAAAAGTATCTTGATCTGTTTTGTCCAATTATATCTTGAATCATCATTATTGAGCTGAAGTTGACGCCTCAGGCATATTTTGAGATGCCACGAATCATCCATTGAGAATATCTTGATTAACCAGTTCAGGGTTAGTTTGAACACTGTATAGGACCCTTTGACGTTACCAGTTCCGAGTCTCACGGCATAATCTGGCGTATTAATAGGCAATAGGAGAAGCCTTTTGAAAAATCCTACTTGGGCACGCTCAATTATATGGAAGTATCTTATGATCTAGACCACTGAAGCTGTTGTTGAAGTATTAATAACAATTGTCTCATTCAATTTGACTCTGGAAGGCCAACTGTGGTTTTTAGACTTTGCCATCATAGGCAGGACCGCGCCAGTAGCTTGTTTTGCTTTTCAGCATGCCAAGTTCACTGCTTCTCGAAATAAGCCTGAGGAAGAGAAAATTACTCCTAAGTAGGTATATTTGGATACGCACTCTATCCTTCTATCGTGCAGGCGAAAATTCAAATTCTTATGTGCGGCTGTACCTCCTCTAGCGAAAACCATGATTTTTTTTCACTGTTTTCACAATTTTCGTGAAAGGCCAATTTCTGATTCCGCAAGAATGACAAGGTCATCGGCATACAATATTTATGAAATGAGCGCCATTTTGGCGGAAATAATCATCGATATCAGCAATGAAAAGGGCAAACAACATCGGACTCATCGGTTCTCCTTGTAGAACACCAGCAGAAAGATCAAACGTTCTAGTAAGAGAATTTCCCGTTTTGACCCTGAAAGTGGCTGAATTATAGAGACTTTTTATAATCATCAGTAGGTTGGAGCTTTTTTCGTTCTGATAAAGTTTTTCCCATAAAAGAGAGTGATTGACAGAATCGAACGCCCTTTTAAAATCAACGAAAATGGCGAACAGCTTTGTATTTTTTGTTCTGTTCTTAGATGTAACTGAATGATAATGTTCAAAGTGAAGATGTTGTACACACAGCCTCTCCCACGTCGGAAACCTGATTGGGTTTCTGGTAATATATAACCTGTTTCCACAAAGAGTTCAATCCTGTTCAACAAAATCTGAGTGAACAATTTCGCAAAACAATTCACAAGTGCAATGAACTGTAATTTGATGGATCATTAGTCAAACCTTTTTTGTGCAGCATACTGAAAGTAATTTCGCTCCAGCTGCGTGGCAATATATGTGTATCGAATATTTTGTTGAACATAGAACATAAATATAAACACCAATTTTGTAGTATGTTCTTGATAAAACAAACAAATTAATAGAACAAAAAATATTTTTTCAACATGATGGTGAACCACTTTATTATGCTGTTGCTGTGCGGTGTAACACCAGATGTCGTCAGTAATGTTCAAAAAGAATTTAAAATATCATTGTTTGCAAGTTGATAGAGATCAATTTGAACTATACATTGAATGAAACTTAAATTTTACGTCAGCTTTCTCAATTGTGGACTATTATATTTTTGGTGAATTGATCAACACATGAACAAAGAGGGATGTAGATTGATTATGAGTAAATTAAAAGCTCACAATCGATGAACAAATTTGATTAGACATAAAGAGAATGTCAGTTTGTCAATTATTGTCAAGTATTGATTTTATTCAATAACTCTGTCGAATTCCCAGAAACAATGCACCATAATATTCGAAATGGAAAGGTCTTCAAAATGATGTATTTTGAGTAGGGTAGTTCCATTTGAAATTTCAGAGTTGGGGCTGCTAGGCGTTCCTTTTTTTTATCTTCCATTCCACTTCGCGGCTACCTAAATTATTAAACAACCACTAAAATCGCAATTTTTTTATATCAAAACATAATCAAATTCACAGATATTCGATTACTTCAAAGATGCCTACAAAAAGATGCCTGCAACATAGGTAGTACATCTGTAAAAAACTTCAAATTTCACATCGATAATTTTCTGATTTTATTATAATCTTTCATCTGCTCAATTTGAATCGTCGTTTTCCCTGTCACAAAAAAATAGTGTATTATACATGAAAAAAATATTAGATTTTAGCTCACGGTTTTTTGTCTTACTTTTTCTCTTGTATAATGAATTACTAATTATTATTAGTATAATCAGAAATGTTGCGTCAGAAACGAAATTCATACTTTTAGCATTATAAAGCATTTTGGGTGTGATAAAAAATAATATACTTTTGTTACTGGTCGTCAAGAAACATTATTCTCAATTTTCGTGAATACATATTCACAAAACATTAATCATATTCAATCTTTATAATTAATTTTCATCTGGTTTAGATAGAGTGGTTTTTCTCCATGAGAATAATATTTTTAATTCAAATGCTAATGATTTAAGAAAGCTTACAGGTTACTCTCCTCCTACTATGACTCTCTTTATGCCATGTGACACAACTGGAGCTAGCCCCAGTATCACGGATAATGTCATTTCAAAAAGGAAAATACAGACTGACTGCACTTGTAATCGTGACCATATTTACTACATAGTCGAATTCCTCTGCATTGACGGCTATCAATAATAACTATAATATATTCCATAAAAGAATAAAGCCTGTAGTGAGATAGGACTCATTTGACCTCGCTTTTCATTTACCTAGACGCCTGGCGAGTTTACACTATTGATATCGTTATTGATGATAAACAGTGGAATTGGTTAGTAGATCGGTCGGTTGTCTTATAACCCTCTAAAATAGAATCGATTGTTGATTGTCTATAAAGTCTTTATTTGTAGTAGAATTGCAATAGTCGAAGTACACGGTTCTTATTACCATTCAACTCTTTCTATAGTCAGCTATTGTCGGTCCACTAACTACAAATGTTATTCAGTCAAAAATTAATTATTTCCGTCATTTTCAATTCTGTTGAAATTACTGCCAATGCCAGCCACAAAAATTAATAATTGATTAATCTCTAAACTCTGAAATAATTCTCAAATATATGTATTTGGATGGTTTTATTAGTGTCATCCGTGCCATCGACTTCACTTCCATCTGGAATATACTATAGTGTATTATTTTTTTTATCTCTTGAAGCACAGGAAAGGACATCTTATCAACTCCATACATTTAGTAATACATGCTGTCTTTGTAAGTGACTAACACGTTATGATTGTCCACCAAATCGCGATCTTGCATGGCATCATTTACTTTTTCTTTCGTTTCATTTGACTTAAATGCACAATATAAGGAAGGTACTGATATGAATCTATTGATTTTAAGGCGATGACAAGTAGTTCGCATATTCAACAATATGTGACGCAATTATTTGAAAATGTTTGAAAACTATGTAAAAATTCAAAACTTTTACAATCCAAATTAACTGAAATAATTCCCTAGGACTGAACTGAATCAGTTAACATGCGTTCTTTCGAGAGGCTTTAATTGCTTCAGTTCAGTTCAAGTGAAATGTTTCAGTTAGTTCAGAACGAAACAATATACTTCACGGCTACCAACATTCTCATAACTCGGACTTACCCAGCTAGAAGATTGATATGCAGTGGATAAACTGTAGGTACTTTAATAATAATGATTTTGACTGTCAGTCTATATTAGCTGTCAGTCACCTAGCATGCAGTTTCATGTTATGATTGATAAACCGAACCTCATAGTCTTAGAATATAATATATACTTAAATTACCTTCCCGATTTGGTAAACTAAATACGGTTTGTTTGAAACTCGATGTTCATGGCTCTTCATTCTTCCCTGTAATATTGATAGGACACCAGACTATGCCTCTTGATATCCACCTACCCATTTTCTGCAAAATCACCTACGTTTTTCAAACTCTCCATAATTGACATTGACAGATGACAATATATTTTACAGGTGTGATGCAGAATTTGACAGTATAGTTGTTGCTTACTGCCAACTATGTTATTACATGTATTTTTATTTTTATTGTATTGTACTTATACACTGATATATCTATTAATTGCTACTTTTCATATTAGGTTTATAATAGTTTTATACTCTTATAGAGTTTTATTTTTATTGTATTGTACTTATACACTGATATATCTATTAATTATTGCTATTTTTCATATTAGGTTTAGAATAGTTTAACACTCTTATAGAGCTTATTTTATTCCAATACACCCTATTACCTGTATCTCATTTCGACTTGCTACAAATTTATTTATACATAACGTGGTTAATAAAATTCTATTCTATTCTATTCTATCCTACAGCAGAAGCCCCATACTTTTGTTAAATTTCTTGATAATGCTGAAGATAAAATTAGGTTTTCAAATTACAATAGGTAGAAAATTTGCAGGCATTTAAGAAAGTGGTTTCTCATAATCGACAACTTTGTACCATCAGAGGAGAGAACCAGATTGATCAACTTGGCCCAGTTTGATGACAACATCGATAACTGGGTGTTGAGAAAAGAAAAAATTAGGATCAACCCTGCAGACAGACCTTTCGCTCACAATTATAGGAGACCGATATCAGATGCAGCCTTGCAAATGAGTCATGCATCTCCTAAATACAGAGTGAGTCTATCTTCATTTGCCAAGTGTTAACATTTTTCTGGTTGAATTGAAATCTTCAGTTAACGCCCCTCCCCTAGGGTCTTTTTGCGGTTAATGTAATGCATGGAGAATTGGCGGTTAATGTAATGCATGAAGAATTTGCGATTATTTGCAACTTATACATGAACAAGGTGAATGTTTTGGGTGTAATTTAGAGAAAAATACTGCGGCTGAAAATATTCTTTCATACTTCATACTTTCATACTTCAGTAAGTTTATTGTTTGAGAATTTTAAATATAATGCAATGCATTTTACTTCTACATTTATGAACATATTTGTAAATTGTTTCTTGATGAGAATAATAAAGATGATGAGGTTTAAATCACTTCAAAATCGATATTTTCAATAATAACACTACTTCAACTCTGAATAAATGAACCTGTTTATCGTTTCCAATGAAGGAAAATCCTGAATGAGAAAAATCAAATAACAAATGTTTCTAGTGACTTAGGTCCATAACATGAGTGCCATACTGAATTCATCCATCATCTCTTAGGAATAAGGCAAACATGTATTCGAATTATACAGGGTACCCCTAAAAGGTCTGTATAAAATCTTGACACATATTCCTGAGGTCAAAGTATGCCAATTTGGATGAGCTTAACTCAGTCCGAAATTGCCCCGTCTCCGAGATACAGGGTGGTAAAGGTAAAACATAAAAAATCGACAAGTTCACTCCAAGAAAGTATTTTGGAAAATCAATTTTTTTTCACCAAATTACATCCACGAAGAGGGTGGTGAAGAAAATAAAAATCGACAAGTACACTCCAAGAGAGTATTTAAGAGTTTCAATGTCGAAGCAATGGATTCGAGGTCAAGATTCTTGAGAATGAATAATTTTAAGTTCGTCGATAATTTTGTCGGGCAGTTCAAGTCTAATTTGAGATGCACCTTTTGTGGCAATTGTTCGGAGACGTTCGACCCATTTTGGGAGTTGTCTTTACCGATACCACAGCAATCAGGTCAACTCAAGTTGTCTCATTGCTTGGACTCGTTTACCAGTGTTGAGATTTTAGACGGCGAGGAAAAACCAACTTGCTCGATGTGTAGAGAAAAAAGAAAATGTTTGGAGTTATTATTCATCCACACGTTCCCTAAAATGTTGATAATACATCTGAAACGTTTCTCGCTGACTGAAGACTTCAGTGAGAAACTAAACACAATTGCCTTAAGGTTAAGGTTAAGGTCCCTCGTGCTATTTCTGGACTTGAACAAAACAATCTCAACATGTATTTGGAAAAATTTTACAATAACCCATTAGGGAACATATTTGTTAAATGTATGTCTGTTCCTAATCCCGTTTGTACCATAATGATGTCGGTGATCACTAATTTTTGGACCTTTTTGTAAATACTTGACGAGTATAGCACTGATGATGGCTTTTTAGCCGAAAGCGCTTTGCGATTTATAATTTTTACATGAAATACAAAATCTCTTCATTCTATTTATATTCTTTGTTACCAACAAGAGGCTCGCCCCTAATACGAATTCAACTACGGATTTCAAGACGCCTCTACTGGTGACAACAGATCCCAATATGAACAACGTGATGGTGACTCAGTGAAGGGCTACTGCATCGATGACACTCGATGACACCCTTCGTACTGTTCACTATTCTGCCCCAGCTTACTGCCACCATTAACTTCTGTGGAGTGAATGAAGTAAAAATCCAAACATTATTCATTATGTTATGTTTATATATATTTAACTGCCATCAATATTCTCCTTATAGTTTCATGAATAGATAGATAATAGTCTAATATTCCGGTGCTGCATCGAAAACTAAAAATCGAAATATCTGGGAATCGGCTTACTTCAGCGGATTTTCTGTTATGCTTGAAAATCATTCGAAACTCATTTCCTCAAAAAATAAAGTGAGAAACTACACTGAGAAAAGATTATTTAAGCGCCCTCTGATGGCCACAGTGGAGAGGTGTCCATAGTCATGTTGGGCATCCCAAAAAAACCCTGGATATCAATTTTTGAAGTAATACGCCAAACAATGTTCATAGATTTGGAGAAATTCGATTTTTATTCTTCAACTTCACCACCCTGTATCTCGGAAACAGAGCAACTCCGAACTGAGGTAAGATGCTTTGAATCGGCTCATTTTGACGTCAGGAAAATATATTATTGAGATTTAGTACAGACCTTTCAGGGACATCTTGTATTTGTTTACTTGACATATTACAATTTTTCTGATTTTTTAAGGGTGAAAACGTTCTAGACTTGAAACTAGACATGCCACTTCGTACCACTCAAGATTACACGCCACCTGCAATATGTCCTCAGATAAAATCTATTGTGACGGATGTGATTAAAAATGAACTGGAACACGGTCACATTGTGATAAAAATGCCCAGCCATTCCATGGGCAGGAATGTCTCTTCCAAAGTGGAACAAGAGGGAAAGTACAAGCAAGCTACAAAAGCAATGGTGGATATGCATAATTTCAGGTGATTACTATTTCTGGGTCAAATAAAGGGTCTTCAACTTTTTTCAGAAGAAATGAAGCGATACAAAATCTTGACATACTCGTTTGTTGTGCATCAGAAGGGCGATATAGTGTATTATGTCACATGGGCAGAAAATGAGCTTTAGCATCCCGCGGCTACTAATTTGAGTTGCTCTTTCGGAATTCTTCATCACGAGAAAAGATCGTCAGTAAAATTTGTTATGTGAACCATTACTGATCGATGTCACTGTGTACCTTATTGCAATTATTGTAATTGCTATCCAAAAGTAGTCAATAATAGAGAAAGATATGGTTCAAATTGAAAGAATTTCTGATGAAACCAAGTATTGTATAAATTAGTGTGTCCTTAGTATTGATATCTTGAAGATCTATTGCTCACTCCATTTTCTCTGAAAGAAATTGAACCATCCTATATATTCTTCGATATGCTTGACAAATAGAGAATATGTTCACGATTACGAAAATTCCCACACTGTATTCTTGAAAATGCAATAGGACTTGGGGTGTTTATGCATTTTTTGGCGGGTTAAAAAAATCCGAATTCTTCAAAATCAAGTTCCACATTGAACCTTTTGTCTGAATACAATATTTCAAGAAAATTATGTCTGGTCTGGGGTGTTATGACGGATTTCACTGATTGGTTTTCATTCAATATTCAACATACTTCTTGGTTGATTTGATGAAACATTGATATCATTTCAGGATGAGATTGTAACAAATCAACTTTTATTACTATTAGAAAAATTATATCATTATTCTGGATATAGTATGTTAAATTTTCAAGATTTTTGTGTTTTCACTACTTATATCTTATGGATAATGAATCTGATTTATTCTCCACACTGATCATGAAAATTCTCGGTGTTATTATTTTGATAGGGCTTGATAAAAATGTCTTGGGGTTCTATTGTTTGCCACCTGAAATTAAGATAATGAACGAACACAAACAAACGGCAATTTTTTGAAGTGGTCTTTATAGTAATTTGAATTTCACATAAAAAACGTTCATACCTATCATATCGGTAAAAATGTATCAGGTAATTAGGTACTTACCTTGTGAATATCTGACAGGATAATTTGGATTTTTCGCCCCAATACTTCTTAGCGGAGAAGAATAAGTAAGTATTTTATAGCAAGGTAATTTTGCTTTCCACTGGTGAATTTGGATAGTCTATCAGTTTCTCTCAAATTCATTCAGCTAAAGTTGTAAGACATATTTTTTTGCAAGGACCTTATGAACTTATGGAATTAATTCGACAAAATCTGAGGTTGAAAGTCAATGTCATTTGATCTATAAACGTAAAAAAAAATCCAGGGTATTTTCATACCCCTGCCCCCAAGGACGAGGAAACACATTTCTAGAAAATTGATTAGTTATTATGGTAACGATACAAAATACAGGCTTTTAATTGGTCGCAAATGTTAGGTGTGAAATTTTCAATGAAATGTCACATACCTCCTTCGTCCACTCGACCCTTCAATGATTAATATTCAACTTATTTCGTTTCAGGAACAGGGGTGCTAGTTCTGCCAAAGCTGGTTTCCAATGATTTAATGACAGCAAAATATAATAATAAGCTAGTAGGAGAACTTTACATAATATTGCCTAGCGCTTTGCTTCATTACTCTCATTTTGCATTCGGGATTATTTTTGTTTAATTTCGCAAGAATTGTAAATTGAGATGATTTATGTTAGATAATTTTTCATTCTAGTCCAAATATCTAGTGAAAAATCTCCATCAGTCGAATGGTGATACACTTCATGATTCCAGTATTGTGTGATAATTTATTGAGATAACAGATGATTCCAGTGAATATTTTATTTATACTTTTTATTCATTTTATGCCGATGGTTCGATATTATTTTATTTTTTATATTTGTTAGAATTTAGCATTATTTACAATGTATTTATTTTTATATGCTTAGTTATTTTCAAAATGTGATGATATAATAATTTAAGTATTATTTGTTTGTAAATTCAATGTGTTCTGGGCTATTAAAAAACATTTTAAAAACTTGATGGGTTATAATTTTTCACTTTGATGTCAAACCTTTCTTAGCCCACACCAAATCTGGTGACATCATCATCAGAAAAAACCCCCGACTCTTCCTCTCTTGCTGTGAATAACTTCAGTAAGATGTTACCTAACCACATTTTATAGCAACATCTGGCTAAAATCTCGGTTCGTTGTCGTTATGGTTATCAAATGAACTTTCAAGGTCAATAACTTCGTAACGAAGTGCGATAGAATTTTTTTTTTGTATGAAATACTATCTTTTTTTTTGGCTATCAGCCCTGCAACTACCATGATGTTATTGAATAAATAGAGTTTTTATTACCTCATTAAATATTAGTTGAATAATAACAAATATTCATTAAATATAAATCCCTCTAAATCCGCCGCTATTGTATTTGGCGCAATATTAAAGATCAACAGCGGGCCATAGAAAATGTAACATTACAGGTAGATGGTCATTCCTTTCACAGATGTGATAAAATGCTTGATGGGTTTAACTATTGCTAATAATCTCAGATTCGTAAAGCATTTGACAAACTAGTGCAAAGAGCATATGGCTTGCTAAAAAAATTACACACAATCAGACATTATTTCACAAGAAAGTTGAAAATCACGTTATATGTTATGTGATACTCTCATTTTGTCAATTTTCAATCACTGTGACATTGTCTATGGCCCTTGTCTCGATCTAGCAACATCGACACGAATACAAAAAGGCCAAAACTCCTGTATACGTCTAATATTTGGTATTAAAAGTAAAATACATGTCACTCCTTTTATTACTGAAATTAAATGGCTCAAAATGTATAACAGATGACAACTCCATCAGATATGTTTTTTGCATAAACTAATCCTCAAAAAAACTCCTTCCTATCTGATAAAAATCTTATACCCAGATATCAAATACACATCTGCGGATCACCTATACTGCTCTGTCTGTTCCAAAACACTCTTCCACGCTATATGAACAATCAATTCTCATCTCAAGCCGCCAAATTGTACAACAGTTACAGTGATCATATATCATATCAAGCTTGATCCTCTGATATCCTTCAAAATAAAGCTGAAGCACATCATTTTCGGTAGGCAGTGATTTTATGATCCATGATCTCTTCTCAAATTGAAGCCCCCAAAACGGTTAATTTACTACTATTGTCACTATTGCTACTGGTATTATTATTATTATTATTATTATTATTATTATTATTATTATTATTATTATTATTATTATCATTATTATTACTAATGACGTATACAAGAATGTACTTGATATTTCCAACATGGTTGAGTAGAAGAGTAGCCTTGCTAAACTCCGCCAGGATGAATAAAGGCAATTCATTATTATTATTATTATTAGCTTTGATATTGTTGGGATGTATATGTTTTCAAAATGCGTTTTTCTATAGAACAGTACAAGGTATCGATGAATAAATTCAACCTACGGCCACTATAGAAAGTAGGCAAGAACACATGCACGAGATACAGCCTCATCAATAAGTAGCTCCTTTTACGCACAGTAAACACATCGCACAGTTTTCGTTTATTCCGCCAGTCATGATCGCGTAATCAATAGCGGATGACATTACTGTCAAAAATTATAATTCAGACTGTTTGTCCAAACTTTTTTGATGATGTACTATATGGCAGTAGGTAAAGTATAGTACGTAATGCGTGTTGTAAAAAGCAATTACGCACTCATGGAATTACGCACTCGTGCGTAACTTTTCCATTCGTGCGTAATATGCTTCTTACAACACATATTACGTAATATACTATTACCAATTTTGTAGAAAAAAGATGAAGGAATCAAACGGTGGAAGCAAAATGTCAAAAATACCTCCATCAAACGGGAAAAATTCGTCCCATCCTGTATAAAACATAATCACTGGACACATATCGAAAAGAGCATTAGTATGAGTAAATTTAGTTGCCCGAATATCAATGGCAACCGTTTAAAAGTTATACATGAAATATATTTTTTATTAAAACTTTCAAGGTCAATTAATCTATCACGAAGTGCAATAGACATTTGTTTCAATATGAAGTACTAATATTATTTTGGTTCCCTCTATCAGCCTTATCATTTACGACATGACCATTCCGGACACCTTGTATAAACAAAAAAAAGCATTATTTGAATGTAAAAATATTCATGTATATTCTGGTACACAACTGAAAACTCAATTTGATACAGATTTTTTTTCTTCCTGTCGACACCTGCAACTCCTATCGTTCTTATTCTTCTGTGATTTTTTGAATATTTGCTGTGACATACTTTTGGCTTCCTTCGATGTGATATAATTTTCGCAGTTATCCTCACATTTATCAGGTAACAACAGATTTGTCTTCTTGTATTGCTGAAATAACATGAATATATGCTATTTTGAGAAACACTCAATGAAGTTATATAAACTTATGGCATATTAATTTTGGAAAATCTATAAATGAATAGTTATTTTTGTATCTAGAACGCGAAATGCTACTTTGGTGATCGAGATGACCAAAGTATTTCGCACTCAAAGTTGCTAACATTTTTTCAACAAACGTCAAAAAATATAGTTCTAAAGTAAAAATATGCCTAGCTTGATATGAAAAATAGTGATGAACTGGCTTAAAAGGCCTTATCCTTATCCTCCCTAGGTACGCACGATGTTCCACGAGCATAATAGGAATTTCCTTTCGTGCGCTCCAAAAGATAAAACAAAGTTATTGTTGAACATTCAGAAATAAATGATTTCGTGGATGTTTGCTCGATTAAGGACCATAAATGAAATATAAATATCTCATATATTTTACATAACAATACGTGAAGTAAGTACTTCGCGCACTGTTTTACTTGGCGCATTGTTTTGTGCAAGGTATCATGGTAACGTAGGAAACTGAAAAAAAGTGTCACTTCGCAATTTGTTATCAATGCGCGAACCTTGTCATTTTTTGACGTTTGTAGAAAAAAATAGTTTTGATCTTATACTTCGTACTTATACAGGGTGTAATTTGATTGATGGCTGAAAATGAAGGATACTGGTTCCTTAACTCATTTTGAGAAGAAAAGTTCATATGAACATATGCCCTAAACCTCTTAGCCTTCGAGCTATAGGGTGTTACAATTTTAAGAAGAAAATCGTTTTCTTAATATAACTTCGATACTGTTCTTGTTCGTTTCCAAATTATAAGTCGATTGAAGAAAATGCTACTAAGCGGTGGACTGTATTCATTGACAATAAAAATATCGAGAGCATCACTTATGAATAGATAATAAATACCTGACTATTCGTGAATTTCTGCCGGTTGCTACTATAAGATGGCTGGCTGATGCCCTTGATGGTTGATGCGACAAACCGTCGTGCGACAAACCGTTTTCGCGTAAAAAGACAAAAAAAATTTTATGCACTTGTGGCATATATACAGTGTGTCCATTTAGTGCGTAATTTTTCGATATCTCGAAATTAATTATCACAAGAGAAAAACTTTGGAGAAAAAACTTGTTCAGTTACTAAAGTTGCTCATTTCTAAAATATTTCCAACGATACTGGGTGTTCCATAAAAGCGGGGCAACTCGAGGACGAGTTTTTTCAAATGGAACACCCAGCATTGTTCATTCGAAATTTATTCCGCTCGAGTTCAGCTCTACATCGCTGTGAAAAAAATTGAATTTGGTTGCGGCGTTGCCAAGTTATAATTGATAAACCCATTTTTACTACTATTGAAGGGTCATGTTCAATTGGGTATGGTATATTTATTTATTGAAATTTCGAAAATATTTTTGGCATACAGTAGTAGCAAGGTCTCACGTATACCAATCCAGTAATTTTGCGAGATAATCCTCTACAGGGTGCTAAAATTTACATTCTGAATATTGTAAGATTCAGACGACGATCATGAGAAATTTTCAAATGGAACACCCTGTATTTTTCATCACGGATTTATTTCGACATCATTCGCCTTTCAATCGCAGAAAAAAAAATTGAAATCGGTTGCGGCGTTTTCAAGTTATGAGTAATTTCCTTATTTTTACTACTATTTCGGGGTAATTTGTTCGTCCTGATGGTTCCTTAATTTGATTCAAGTGTGGGAATATTGCTTGCCACATGACATTCGAGGTTCTACATAGATCATTCAGGTATTTTTGTGATATGTGCATCGTCCAAATTGAAATATTCCGTAATCTTGCTACTTATGATTCAAATAATATGTGAAACAAACAAACATGCCAAAAGCAACGCCTGTCTTTGAAATAACTTCTACAATACAAACAATGAAGATGCGGATTGCGAAAATTAGGAGAATTTTTTGAAATTTGGGCCATTTTTATTGTCGTTATTCCCACAATCCAAATCTCCATTCTCCTTGAAGAAGGTAAACATAATGATACAAACAATATGTCTCTACTACGCGGCTCTTGGGAGGAAATTCATCGAAATGTCGAATCAATCCAAGATATATTTGATTGTAGCGATGTTTGACAGGTCATTACACAAATATTTCGAACAAAATTCAAACCTGGAGAGCCTGTAAATGTTCCTTTTGTAAACAAATATATGAATGGTCAATGAACAAATTTGATTATACCGTAGCAACGCAATATTTCCACAATACAAATAAATGAAAGAACTAGCTATGACGTACAAATTACCCCGAAATGGTAGTGAAAATAAGGAAATCAACCATAACTTGACAACGCCGCAACCGATTTCGATTTGTTTTCCAGCGATAAAAAGGCGAAAGATGTCGAAATGAATTTTTGAATAAAAATACAGGGTGTTCCATTTGAAAAATTCTGATGAATGTCATCTGAATCTTGCAAAATTCTAAATGCAAAATTGAGCACCCTGTTGAAGAACATGTCGCAAAATAACTGGATTGGTATACGTTGGACCTTGCTCCTACCGTATGCCAAAAATATTTTCAAAATCTGAATAAATGAATATACCATGCCCAATTCAAAATGACTCTTCAATAATGGTAAAAATAGATTTATCAATTATAACTTGGCAACGCCGCAACCGATTTCAATTCTTTTTACAGCGATGTGAAGGTGAAACTCGACGGAATTGATTCCGAATGAACAATACTGGGTGTTCCATTTAAAAAAACACTTCTTCGAGTTGCCCTGCTTTTATAAAACACCCAGTAATGTTGAAAATAATTTTGAAATGAGCAACTTTAGTAACTTAAAAAGTTTTTTATCCAAAGTTTTCCTCTATAGGTTATGGCTTTCGAGATATCGAAGAATTACGCACTAAATGGACACACTGTATATATCGAAATTATTCTGAACTAATATAGACTTTAGTGCCCTATTTCGTTTTCAAAATAATGACATTTGATCGATTAGGTACGTTGCGTTTTTATCTTGACAAGTATTCATAAACGTGACAGTTTTTTACATTGTGAAAGTTTATTTAATCAAAAAAGAGAAAATGAAATTTTAACACCCTATAGTTCAAAAGTTAAGATGTTTATGGCATATGTTCATATGAACTGTGTTCTTCTTAAGATGAACTGAGGGACCATATCCTATATATTTCCAGCTATCAATCAAATAATACGCTGTATAGTTTGAACTTACCAGTTACCACAGATTGATCGCAGAGATATAAGAGGGCATCACATTCATGCCACACATCACATCCGTGACTCGAAATGAGAGTCCCAGTGGATGCTATTCCGGACCCTTTTGGTCATTTTATGATTCACATTATGATGACAAATAAAACTCACAGTACGTATTAAGCGACTCCTCATTCAACATCAAAATTGATTGATCCCGTTTGTTACATAAATAGACAAGAATGTGAGGTTCCAATGAGTCTCTTGGTTGTTAGGGAGCCTCATAAATTCACCTACATTTTAAGTCTGAAATCTAATAGATATATTATTATAAATATTATATAATATTGCAGATGTTTTGTAAAATAGAGAGTCTTCTGGCAATACCAGACATTAGTCAACCACAGAACTGACTAATAATCTCTGGGCAATACCTACCAATGATGTTTTGTTGTAATTCGCATCGTTAGCTAGCGAGGCATGAATGTGACATCCCAGGGATGTTTGTGTTTACTGGGATCAGTCTAAACATACCGGGTGACACAGGGTATCGGGTCACCCCTGTATCGGGTCACCCCGGAAACGGATTTTCATGAAATTTGGTACCTACAGATAAACAATCATTTCGGATATGATCACATATTACAATCCAATATAGCGGACTTGAGGTCACGGTAGGTAGACATGACAAATATATCCACTTATTTTCGTGTCATTTGGCCTTTTGCTATGACATCTTCTTCTCCGTCAATGTGAAAATTGGTCGTAAATTCCACATTGTGAGTAGAAACGTAAGCCGGCTCACGTCTTTTGATAGCTTGAGGTTTTCTTTTTGTTCAAATATTCTATGTCATATCAGGGGTATTCGGCAAAATTTTTGGATTTTTGACTTTGACATTGACCTCATGTTTTAGTAGCGCCAACTGGTGAGAATGCAAATGTTAGCCCTCATTGTCCTACTGAATTTGGGATACGACGCTGTATACATACCATGATAACTTTTTCTATTGGATATGTAGATCGTCCTCGTTTCTTGGCAAGTTTCAGCACTTCATCAGCATATTCAAAGAAGCTGTCGTCATCGTTGTGGAAATTGGATCTGGTAACAAATTCCTCTATTTCTTTTTCTTGAAGAAGTAAAGCCTTCTCCTCACTCTGCAAAAAAACAAAGTATATATAAAGTATTGAGAAGGAATATTCTCAGATATAATTATGAACATAAAGAAATGAACATATTTATGAAGAAATTCATTGAGAATTCGCATTCTCTATGTGATGAAAATATCAATTCTTTCTCGGTCTTTTCAACAAATAACAACTACTTATCTGGCTATATGCCACGACGAACATTGAATTACATATATTGAATATACTCGATAAGAATTTGAGAACAAAATATTCGGAAGTATAGAATTTGCCTTCTCCTTCTTATAAAGATATGTAGGTACATAATATAATTCCTGACTATTTGCCACATGAATATCCAAAAAATGTGCATGAAAAATGAAAATCCTCTGGAATTGAGAATTGAGATCTCCCAAATCGGATGAAATAACATGATGTATGATGATATAAAAATATAACTTACCTATATGTTCAGTATTGAAATGAAAATTGAAATGTATAGGAGAAGTATACTTGTATGAAAAAAAAAGGAATGATATGTTTATTAGGGGTTCCCAAATCTAATATTTTGAGATCTAATCGATAAATCCATATTTAATCCATGCCCAGACAACCAGATGACGTTCCAGTGACGTCTTTTTTACGTCACTTGAATGACCAAGGTGACGTCAGTAGTTGACGTCGCATTGACGTGATAATGACGTGAATAAGTCACAGCCCAATGACGTCATATTACTCACGTCGTATTGACGTCATTCGCTCACCAAACTATGATACATAAAAAAGATTTCTTCAACATGGTGTGATAAACACCACTAGCCTCTGATGACATTAAATAATATTGATTATGCATTATTGTTGAGTCTGCTTGGTGGGTCTCTCCTGTGTCATGTTCATTCAATCGCCTAATCAGCAGCGCCATTCTTCAGTACGCATCTCCATCAGAATGCAATCAGTTACTCGTATTTGTATCAAAATGTAGTTTGTGTCGGCGAGATGTAAGCAAACAAAGAATAGCTTGATAGCAATGGAAAGGATGTTTCATGAATTTGGCTTCACTTTGTTGAATAATGTATATTGGTGCATTCTTTGTCACCCAACGAAAATCTAAATAGTAAATTATTGATAAAATTTTCTAAATGACGAAGCTCAACAAATTGGTACGTCACACCGACGTCTCTGACGAAAAATCACCAATCAGGGACGTCACAGTGACGTGATCATTCGTCATCTGGTTGTCTGGGTGCTTACTTATAATCAATTAATTTCGATTCAAAATGCTTTACTTGTTTCCACATCACCCAATAGGTACTGGTACTGGTACTGGTACTGGTACTGGTACTGGTACTGGTACTGGTACTGGTACTGGTACTGGTACTGGTGGGGGACGTTTGCACGTCAGCAACTAGTCCCTAATGGGACCTTTTTGCAAGCCCCAAGGTGTTTTCAATGACCGATGTGGTTACGCTTGAGAGCTGGCTAACATCCTTTTCAGGCACCGCCCATCAGCTATCTTTCATAGTTTTTCGGCTGTGTTTTGTAGGCTAGTAATGTACTCACTACCGTATATGCTGCAGTGGCAGGCCTGCTAGCTATCCTCGTTAACCCCCGTTAGAGACCGAGGTCCACTAAGCAGCATTGGCCCGCTCTCACGCTCAGCTGGTAGTTTTCCACACCCACCTACATACACCGTCCGACTTCTGCTCTGATGCTCACAACCACATCATCATCTCTTTCTGTGTGTTCTGTGTAGGCTTTGTTACTAACTCCATGCGCCACTTTAGGAGCAGCACTGTTAATTGGAACGCAACAGCGAATCGTGCAGGACTATCCCCAGCCGATGCTCCGAAACTTTACAATATTTAATTCTTAAATAAAATATTGAAAGAAGTACCTTGCTCGTGCTGGGAATCCCAATAGGTAAGTAAAGTACACGGCGATGTTTTTAAATTGGTTTCTCCTGTAAGCCTATTCGGTTTTCATCTATAAACTACACCGCTCCACTTTGAATTACCATGGACTCCTTCCAAAGACTTATCGACTTAGGTACTAGAATTATTTTTTTGCAGAGGCCAGACGGAACTGGCTCGTTGATTTCCATATCTCTCCTTCTGCAGTCGATGAAAAATTTTCAAGCAGCGAAAGGAGGTCTACTACATCGGATTCGTCTAGTGATTGCCTGATATTTCCACAAGTTTTTCTATTGCAGACACCACAAATCATTGAACGTACCAGTCCTGCTTTCCTGCATCCGCAGGCTCTACCAGAAAACGCCTCTTGCACTTACAATATAAAAAAGCAAGTAGAGTGCTTTGGAAGCAGGATCTTTCAAAGTAGATTCTTGAGTGAGGCCAGTTTAAACTCTATGGATCCAAAGACACAAATGATATCAATCTTGATAAATATCGATACCGGTGTTTTGTGAAGTCGGTAACGAAAAGTAAATTCAATTTGGCATTCTTACCTCCTACCAGCGCAGCTGCACGACAGCATTCATTGAGATCATAATATCAGGTTCAACTATGGCGTGGCTGTCCGAAAGTAGTTGAATAATAGGTTTGTAACAGAATACAAACTGGCCCCACTCTAGTACCTACTTCAGAAGATCCTGCTTCCAAAGCACTACTTTCTTTTTTAACTTGTAAGTGCCAGGTGGCTTGTGGTTGAGCCTGTGGATGCAGAGGAGAGCAGGATTGAGATCAATGATTTGCGGTGTATGAAAAGGAAAAAATTGTGAAAATATCAGCCAAGTGACACTGGACGAATTCGATAAATACGACCTCCATTTACTGCTTGATGATTCTTTATCGACTGCAAAAGGAGAATCCGACGAGTTGAAGGAAATTGACATCGATTGTAAAGCTGAGGTAACCATTTCCCTGTTGAAGATATGGAAATCAACAAGCCAGGTTTGTCTGGCCTTTGCAAAAAATAATTTCAGTACCTAAGTGGATTAGGCCTACCGGAGAAACCATGTTGAAAAAACGCGCCAGCAAAAGTACATCATTTAAAATCGGAATCAATTGATCATGAATTATTAACATGGATCAATTAATGAATTGATCGATTCATTGAATGGAATATCTGTCACTGTTTCGTGATAAATATTTATAATGTCCTATATAATATTAGATTTGGGGAGCACAATCATTTTATTTCCGAAATTAGCCGTTACACAAAACTTGAGCAAAATTTTTAATTTGGCGAGGCCATTTGTGCCTTATCTGTTTAGTTTGGCGAAAATATACTAGGAATATATTTTAAAGGACATTTCCTCTAGTCAGCAAGCTATAAATATAACGTGAAATCAATTGAATAGCCCGTTTTATTATAGAAGATGAATTTATAAGCATATATGGAGATAGTTAGGGGCAGTTTATAGAAATTAACAGAATTTGTTGTCATTCAATCAGCTCTTGAGTCTAAACGGCTCACTTCAGCAAAAATATGCTAGGAACATATCTTGTAGGAAATTTCGTCCTCTTCATTTTTTATCTCAACATATTTTTCCGGAAAACGCACAGTTTTGATGATAAATGAAAAAACTATTTTTGGGCGCCATTTTGACAAGATGGCGGCGCCGGTGGCATGTCTCGGAATGTGCATTTTGTGAATTTTAGTTCTGGACATCCCAACCTACAAACCTGCGAAGTTTGTAAACTTCCGGACTTATTTCCAAGTAAGCCTAATTTTTGATCCCCAATGACTGAACTATTTGGAGATGTGATAGAGAAGGTGGTTAGGAGTGAAATGTTCCTATATTTCTACAAACGCTAGACGTCATAAGGGTTTGAAAGTTAGTTTCCCGAAAATCTGTTGTACATTTTTTCTACCTCCCAACTAGATTACATAATCAACACTATGATCCTATGTTTGTTCGTGCTCACCGAAAACATCCAGAGATCACTTGAGCATAAAGAAATCGCCATATGCGCATTTCTAGACATAGAGGGGGCATTTGACAACACCTCTCATGAAGCAATAAAGAGAGCTCTAATGAACAAGGGCGTGGACAGAACCACATCCAGATGGATGTGCCAAATGCTGACCACAAGAACAGCTGAAACGAAAGTGGGCGAGAGCAGCTTTCAAATCAGTACGAACAGGGGCTGTCCACAAGGAGGGGTACTGTCACCCTTGATGTGGAGTCTAGTAGTAGACGAACTACTCGGGATTCTTACTGAGAACGGAGTAACTTCCTTTGGATATGCGGACGACATAGTTATCATGGCCAAAGGCAAATTTGAAGGCACCCTCTGCGACCTCATAGAGAGAGAGCTAGAGACTACCAGAAGATGGTGCCATTCGGTGAGGTTGAGAATTAACTCAACGAAAACCACATTGGTACCTTTTACTAGAAGAACGAAGGTTCAGCACTTAAGAGTAGTCCGTCTAAACGGAGAAGACCTAGAATGGCAGCAAGAAGTGAAGTATCTAGGGCTCATCCTAGACTCAAAGCTTCTCTCTGGAATAGACACGTAGAAAAGATCGCCAGTAAGACAAGATCATCACTGATGGTGTGCAGGAACCTTGCAGGCAAAACGTGGGGATGTAACCCATCAATACTGCGATGGATGTACACCATGCTAGTGAGACCAATGACGGAGCAGTAGTGTGGCACGGCAGAACCGAACTCGCCATTACAAGGAAAATATTAGAGAAGGTGCAAAGATTTGCATGTCTTTGCATAACAGGAGCAATGAGATCAGCGCCAACAGCAGCACTAGAGGTCATTTTCTCACACCTCTACACATCGTGGTGAGGAGAACTGCCTATGGAGCACATCTCAGGTTAGCCAAGGTCGGACTAAGAGGGAAAACGCACAGTGTAAGGGGCTCACCCCCCACTGAGATCGCACACCTCGCCGATCTTCCAACAGACCAAATCATTAGGAAGTTCAGTTTTGAGAAGAACTTCCGAGTGGAGCTGAGCAACAAGCGCGAATGGAGCACAGAATCCATCGAATCACTGGGAAGGAATACCATTTCTTGGTATACGGACGGGTCTAAAACAACCGAGGGAACTGGAGC